ATACAATATTGCTATAGCATGACTGTATCGGACTTGTTGGAACAACCTTGCTACAAGTCTGATAATATCAACAAGCTTGTTACAAGCTGTTAAACAACTTGTATACAATATTGTTATATCATGATTGTATCAGGCTTGTTGGAATAACCTTGCTACAAGTCTGATAATATCAACAAGCTTGTTACAAGCTGTTAACAACTTGTATACAATATTGTTATAGCATGACTGTATCAGACTTGTTCAAACAACCTTGCTACAAGTCTGATAATATCAACAAGCTTGTTACAAGCTGTTAAACAACTTGTACAAAATTGTTATATCATGACTGTATCGGACTTGTTGGAACAACCTTGCTACAAGTCTGATAATATCAACAAGCTTGTTACAAGCTGTTAAACAACTTGTATACAATTTTGTTATATCATGATTGCATCAGACTTGTTGGAACAACCTTGCTACAAGTCTGATAATATCAACAAGCTTGTTACAAGCTGTTAAACAACTTGTATACAATATTTTGTTATATCATGACTGTATCGGACTTGTTGGAACAACCTTGCTACAAGTCTGATAATATCAACAAGCTTGTTACAAGCTGTTAAACAACTTTTATACAATATTTTGTTATATCATGACTGTATCGGACTTGTTGGAACAACCTTGCTACAAGTCTGATAATATCAACAAGCTTGTTACAAGCTGTTAAACAACTTGTATACAATATTGTTATATCATGATTGTATCAGACTTATTGGAACAACCTTGCTACAAGTCTGATAATATCAACAAGCTTGTTACAAGCTGTTAAACAACTTGTATACAATATTGTTATATCATGATTGTATCAGACTTGTTGGAACAACCTTGCTACAAGTCTGATAATACCAACAAGCTTGTTACAAGCTGTTAAACAACTTGTATACAATATTGTTATATCATGATTGTATCAGACTTGTTGGAACAACCTTGCTACAAGTCTGATAATATCAACAAGCTTGTTACAAGCTGTTAAACAACTTGTACAATATTGTTATATCATGACTGTATCGGACTTGTTGGAACAACCTTGCTACAAGTCTGATAATATCAACAAGCTTGTTACACGCTGTTAAACAACTTGTATACAATATTGTTATATCATGTCTGTATCGGACTTGTTGAACAACCTTGCTACAAGTGTGATAATATCAACAAGCTTGTTACAAGCTGTTAAAACAACTTGTACAATATTGTTATATCATGACTGTATCGGACTTGTTGGAACAACCTTGCTGCAAGTCTGATAATATCAACAAGCTTGTTACAAGCTGTTAACAACATGTATACAATATTGTTATATCATGACTGTATCGGACTTGTTGGAACAACCTTGCTACAAGTCTGATAATATCAACAAGCTTGTTACAAGCCGTTTAAACAACTTGTACAATATTGTTATATCATGACTGTATCGGAATTGTTGGGATAACCTTACTACAAGTCTGATAATATCAACAAGCTTGTTACAAGCTGTTAAACAACTTGTATACAATATTGTTGTATCATGATTGTATCAGACTTGTTGGAACAACCTTGCTACAAGTCTGATAATATCAACAAGCTTGTTACAAGCTGTTAACAACTTGTATACAATATTGTTATAGCATGACTGTATCAGACTTGTTCAAACAACCTTGCTACAAGTCTGATAATATCAACAAGCTTGTTACAAGCTGTTAAACAACTTGTATACAATATTGTTATATCATGATTGTATCAGACTTGTTGGAACAACCTTGCTACAAGTCTGATAATATCAACAAGCTTGTTACAAGCTGTTAACAACTTGTATACAATATTGCTATAGCATGACTGTATCGGACTTTTTGGAACAACCTTGCTACAAGTCTGATAATATCAACAAGCTTGTTACAAGCTGTTAAACAACTTGTATACAATATTGTTATATCATGATTGTATCAGAGTTGTTGGAATAACCTTGCTACAAGTCTGATAATATCAACAAGCTTGTTACAAGCTGTTAAAACAACTTGTACAATATTGTTATATCGTGACTGTATCGGACTTGTTGGAACAGCCTTGCTACAAGTCTGATAATATCAGCAAGCTTGTTACAAGCCGTTTAAACAACTTGTACAATATTGTTATATCATGACTGTATCGGAATTGTTGGGACAACCTTGCTACAAGTCTGATAATATCAACAAACTTGTTACAAGCTGTTAACAACTTGTATACAATATTGTTATAGCATGACTGTATCAGACTTGTTCAAACAACCTTGCTACAAGTCTGATAATATCAACAAGCTTGTTACAAGCTGTTAACAACTTGTACAATATTGCTATAGCATGACTGTATCGGACTTGTTGGAACAACCTTGCTACAAGTCTGATAATATCAACAAGCTTGTTACAAGCTGTTAAAAAACTTGTATACAATATTGTTATATCATGATTGTATCAGACTTGTTGGAACAACCTTGCTACAAGTCTGATAATATCAACAAGCTTGTTACAAGCTGTTAAACAACTTGTATACAATATTGTTATATCATGACTGTATCGGACTTGTTGGAACAACCTTGCTACGAGTCTGATAATATCAACAAGCTTGTTACACGCTGTTAAACAACTTGTATACAATATTGTTATATCATGTCTGTATCGGACTTGTTGAACAACCTTGCTACAAGTCTGATAATATCAACAAGCTTGTTACAAGCTGTTAAAACAACTTGTACAATATTGTTATATCGTGACTGTATCGGACTTGTTGGAACAACCTTGCTACAAGTCTTATAATATCAACAAGCTTGTTACAAGCCGTTTAAACAACTTGTACAATATTGTTATATCATGACTGTATCGGAATTGTTGGGACAACCTTGCTACAAGTCTGATAATATCAACAAGCTTGTTACAAGCTGTTAACAACTTGTATACAATATTGTTATATCATGATTGTATCAGACTTGTTGGAACAACCTTGCTACAAGTCTGATAATATCAACAAGCTTGTTACAAGCTGTTAAACAACTTGTACAATATTGTTATATCATGACTGTATCGGACTTGTTGGAACAACCTTGCTACAAGTCTGATAATATCAACAAGCTTGTTACAAGCTGTTAAACAACTTGTATACAATTTTCTTATATCATGATTGTATCAGACTTGTTGGAACAACCTTGCTACAAGTCTGATAATATCAAGAAGCTTGTTACAAGCTGTTAAACAACTTGTATACAATATTTTGTTATATCATGACTGTATCGGACTTGTTGGAACAACCTTGCTACAAGTCTGATAACATCAACAAGCTTGTTACAAGCTGTTAAAACAACTTGTACAATATTGTTATATCATGACTGTATCGGACTTGTTGGAACAACCTTGCTACAAGTCTGATAATATCAACAAGCTTGTTACAAGCTGTTAACAACATATATTATACCTCACAATGAGCTTGTCCAATCAGAGAACTAAATTTGTACCACATGACCATGGTATTTTTCAGCGAATACTATGACCTAGGCAATTTGAACCCTGGGTGTTTTACCCGGGGCCATGGTATTCGACTTCGAATACCACGCTTGAGCGGGAAATTCGACTTTTTTAAATGTACAGTTATCAAAAGTTGTGTTTTGAAATTAAAAGTTAATTGAATGGTATTTGTTTTCTACTTATTTTTGAAAGGTTCGGTATAATATACCATTTATAGACCTTTCACTCGGGGTATTCCACAAAAAATTACCCTGCGGGATGAAATATTCCTCGGGCTTCGCCCTCGGAATATTTCATCCCTCAGGGTAATTTTTTGTGGAATACCCCTCGTTTCAGGTCTATAACTGATAAGTATACAATATTGTTATATCATGACTGTATCGGACTTGTTGGAACAACCTTGCTACAAGTCTGATAATATCAACAAGCTTGTTACAAGCTGTTAAACAACTTGTATACAATATTGTTATATCATGACTGTATCGGACTTGTTGGAACAACCTTGCTATAAGTCTGATAATATCAACAAGCTTGTTACAAGCTGTTAAACAACTTGTATACAATATTGTTATATCATGATTGTATCAGACTTGTTGGAACAACCTTGCTACAAGTCTGATAATATCAACAAGCTTGTTACAAGCTGTTAAACAACTTGTATACAATATTGTTATATCATGATTGTATCAGAGTTGTTGGAACAACCTTGCTACAAGTCTGATAATATCAACAAGCTTGTTACAAGCTGTTAAAACAACTTGTACAATATTGTTATATCGTGACTGTATCGGACTTGTTGGAACAGCCTTGCTACAAGTCTGATAATATCAGCAAGCTTGTTACAAGCCGTTTAAACAACTTGTACAATATTGTTATATCATGACTGTATCGGAATTGTTGGGACAACCTTGCTACAAGTCTGATAATATCAACAAACTTGTTACAAGCTGTTAACAACTTGTATACAATATTGTTATAGCATGACTGTATCAGACTTGTTCAAACAACCTTGCTACAAGTCTGATAATATCAACAAGCTTGTTACAAGCTGTTAACAACTTGTATACAATATTGTTATATCATGACTGTATCAGACTTGTTCAAACAACCTTGCTACAAGTCTGATAATATCAACAAGCTTGTTACAAGCTGTTAAACAACTTGTACAATATTGTTATATCATGACTGTATCGGACTTGTTGGAACAATCTTGCTACAAGTCTGATAATATCAACAAGCTTGTTACAAGCCGTTTAAACAACTTGTACAATATTGTTATATCATGACTGTATCGGAATTGTTGGAACAACCTTGCTACAAGTCTGATAATATCAACAAGCTTGTTACAAGCTGTTAAAACAACTTGTACAATATTGTTATATCATGACTGTATCGGACTTGTTGGAACAACCTTGCTACAAGTCTGATAATATCAACAAGCTTGTTACAAGCCGTTTAAACAACTTGTACAATATTGTTATATCATGACTGTATCGGACTTGTTGGAACAACCTTGCTACAAGTCTGATAATATCAACAAGCTTGTTACAAGTTGTTAACACTATATATTTTGACAACTTGGGACAAGCAGTGCGAACACAACTTGTTGATGGCTTGTTGGCAGACTTGCTACAAGATGTGAGATTTTTGCCTGTGTAGATGGGCGCATATGAACAAACTCGAAATACCCACTTCAGTTTGTCACAAAAATATCGGGGTTTTTATGTCGGCTACATTTTCCTTGTTTTCGTTTTCTCCACAGTCCTCAGGTGGTGAGAAGAAAGCCATTAAACAAACTGGTCTACACTCTGCTATCAAACACTGATCTCAAACGCAAGATGAAAGAACGTGGACTGTCCATCAAGGGCGACAGACAGGTAGGAATTGTTGTTATCGTAAATCGTGAAGTTGTCTTATTGAAGAATGAAAGTAGTCACACATTATAATTTGGTTGCAGAGCTCAGTTGTGTTGCTATCTAGTTAATACGCACAATGTTTTTGATCTTACTCTGAGCAGGCTGAAGGAATCCAACCCGTGACCACGGTGGGAATGGAACCCGCGACCTTTGGGATACTAGTCCATGGTCAGGCTAACTTTCCAGCCTGCCCGGTGTGGATATACACTCAGAGTAACATCATAAACATTATATTGAGTACATAACACCAAAACACACACACAAAAATGCAATATACACTAGTTAATTTGGCCGGATTTTGGTGGAAATTATGGGGGAGGTGGGAAACAATTTAGGGGAGGTGCAGCGGTCTAACTCACGAACCCCATGGAAAAAGTTAGGGCTTAGAACGGGCCAAAGTCAACGACGTGACGTATGCATGTAGTGTACATATGTATATCAGTGTATTAATGAATTATGACTGTACTACTCATCCAATTTTACCCTTCATTACAATTACTACAAAGTTTCTTTCAAAACATTGCATTAAAAGTGTACTTGACACAGAGATGAATGCCTATCACTGTTTCAATTTTACAGAAAAACTTTCTTACGTAGTGTAGACCCTATAAGCAACCAAAAATGTCAAATTTTCACACTGATCTATCTTTGAAACTTTCTCAAGGGGAGGTGCATGACTTTCCAGGGGAGGTGCAAAACGATCTCAGGGAAGGTGCGCATCTCCCCACACCTCCCCTCAAAATCCAACCATCTCTGCTGCCCCGCTGAAACCGACCAATACACAAGACGTCTTTTAATCGACTATATTTCCAGACTTTGGTTAAACGACATCAAGAATTTACGATCATATACAACAGTGAGTGTAGCAAGCCGAAACCAAAGTCAGGTCAGTTGAAAGATTGTAATTTGAAAGCTAGACAACTTACTGGCGGAGGTATCAAGCATCTCATACTTTATCTTACAGTGGCTGAGATTGTTCGTTTGGTTGAAGAGGGTGAAAGAAAGAAAAACAAAGCAGTTGAAAAGCGCGACAAAGTAAGTTTTTATGAAACGCGACCAAGGACGAAGTCATTCGGTCACGAAGTTTAAACTTTGAGTTTTGCGCTTCCTTGTCGATGTATATGCTTTATATGCTTTATATAAAGAGGCTTACAATGATTTTCAAGGTATTTTAGTGAGAATTATTGCAAAATTTAAGCACAAACAAAATCATAACATCACCGTTATAGTCTAGTGCGCGTGTTTTATACTGACAGCTAAATTCCAGGATAAATTGTTATTTTTCAAACTTTAAAAGTTATTCACGGCACATATTTCTGTCGTGATGGTTTGTATTGTGCTTTAGCTTGTATATCTAAGTTATCTAACTCATTTTTGTTCAGTTTTGGTATTACAAGTGAATGCGGTTTAAAATGTCTTTTGACAGTTTGTTTTCGTTTGCTATTTTTAGCAGTTTTTTTTAAGAGTATTTTTCAGGGAGGTCGCGTAATTTTGAAAACGGGTGTAAAGCCAGAATTTAAAGCCTGAATTTAAAGCCTGAATTTAAAGCCTGAATTTAAAGTGAGAAAAGTCAGTCATAAGTTGATAAAGATGGGATTTTTTATTACAAAGACATATTACATTTCTTCTTCAAATGACCCAAATATTACACATACCAAAAGGTATGCGGGATCACAATCATATTTGATCGTAGTATGTTCTTCAACACGCCTTTAAAAACCGTTATATTTTTGCTCAAAAGTCCTTGTCTGGAAGCGGGAAATGTTATATCATGGCGACAAAATCAACAATTCTCTGAGAGTTTGGTTTGGTGGAATCGAGGCAATGTTCACTAGCTTTCTAAAACTCCATCTTCTTCCGATAAAAACGCGGTAGTAGACTAAGACTACGTGCACACGGTAGCGTTTTCGAGCGTTTTCATTTGTGTTTTCACGCTAAAACGGAGGCAAACACTATCAATTTACGACAAAATCTGTAGTTTATTTAATACATAGGAGATATTTTCCTTTGGACTGTGTGAACAGGGCGTCAAAACGATTGAAGGGGCAAAAACGTTTCTGAAAACGCTGGAAAACGAAGCCCGTGTGCACATAACCTAAGATACTGGTATTAATCCCCGAGTGTAATATATAGTGCTTTATGTGCTTTAGTTGAATTTTGACCGAGACCAGACTCCCGAAGATATTGACAAAATGAAATTTGAATACAGTAAGTATTACAGTCAAAACACAATAACCCTCCCACTTCCCCTTGTGTGGTAAATACGGCGATAAAATTTAGTTTCGTTGTTTTTATATAACTGCTCTTTAACTACTGTAAGTATGTTGATTACGTTTATTTAATTTCCACATTTCTCAAGTGTCTCAGAATCAGAATGAATTTACACGACTTATAAATGAAATCAGAAATAGAAAAAAGAAAGACGAAAATAATTCTGGTAAGTTGTGGCCGTATCGTTGCCTATAGTCGTCCAATAAGGCTCATCTCTTATTGATCCGGTGTTACTACAGGAGGAAACCTAAACTAAACTAACTTTATTGATACCGGATAGCTCTATCAGTTCTAAGCTGTTCTTCCTAGAGATCTAGTAAGGATCATATGACTCTTATTGCTCCAGTGTTACTACAGGAGAAAACCTAAACTAAACTAACTTTATTTATACTGGATTTCTCTATCACTTCTAAACTGTTCTCCCTAGAGGTCCAGTAAGGATCATCTCTTATCGATCGAGTGTTACTACAGGAGGGAACCTAAACTAAACTAACTTTATTTATACTGGATAGCTCTATCAGTTCTAAACTCTTCCAGATGATAGCAAGAGCAATGAAGCCAGCACTAGCAAGGCGGACCAGACTCCTTCTACAATGAAAAAAAAGTTTGCACTAAAATTGCTACCCTCTGATGACGACACGGCCAGCAACAGTAGCGGCGCCGATTTTGAACCGGTTCAAAAACGCTCCAACACGCCACGTCGACAGCTAAGGTCGTCCACAGAAAAGCGCAAAACTCGTAGTAGCGCAGAAATACCGGAAGAAATTGTCGAAGACTCCTGCGACGATACCAGCAATACAATAGGGGATGAAGGGGAGGAGGAGTGTGATTGTGATGACCCTGTGGATCCCATTGAGTCATGTATTACCTCAGCTACCCTGCCTGATCCTCCGTCACCCTCGCTTCTTGATGATTTTGATGAGAAGGAGTCCAATCATTCAAACGCCGTAAGTTATGGAAAGCTGACAACAGTGTTTCCTGGTTTACCCACCTTTGGAAAACATGGCTAGGAAACAATGTTTCCTGGTTTGTCCACCTTTGGAAAACATGGCTTGGAAACAATGTTTCCTGGTTTGTCCACCGTTGGGAAACATGGTTAGGAAACAATGTCTCCTGGTTTGTCCACGTTTGAGAAACATGGCTAGGAAACAATGTTTCCTGGTTTGTCCACCGTTGGGAAACATGGCTAGGAAACAATGTTTCCTGGTTTGTCCACCTTTGAGAAACATGGCTAGGAAACAATGTTTCCTGGTTTGTGCACCTTTGGGAAACATGGCTAGGAAACAATGTTTCCTGGTTTGTCCACCTTTGGGAAACATGGCTAGGAAACAATGTTTCCTGGTTTGTCCACCTTTGGGAAACATGGCTAGGAAACAATGTTTCCTGGTTTGTCCACCTTTGGGAAACATGGCTAGGAAACAATGTTTCCTGGTTTGTCCACCTTCAGGAAACATGGCTAGGAAACAATGTTTCCTGGTTTGTCCACCTTTGGGAAACATGGCTAGGAAACAATGTTTCCTGGTTTGTCCACCTTTGGGAAACATGGCTAGGAAACAATGTTTCCTGGTTTGTCCACCTTTGGGAAACATGGCTAGGAAACAATGTTTCCTGGTTTGCCCACCTTTGGGAAACATGGCTAGGAAACAATGTTTCCTGGTTTGTCCACCTTTGGGAAACATGGCTAGGAAACAATGTTTCCTGGTTTGACCACCTTTGGGAAACATGGCTAGGAAACAATGTTTCCTGGTTTGTCCTCCTTTGAGAAACATGGCTAGGAAACAATGTTTCCTGGTTTGTCCTCCTTTGAGAAACATGGCTAGGAAACAATGTTTCTACCACAACCTTCGCGCAGGGTTTAACTGCACATTTTATATATGCTTTAGGAGAGCTCAGAAAGTGAAAGTATGTTGAGGCCTGCTTTTGACCCATCAAGCCCAACTCAAGAGTAAGTTGAATTTTCTCAATGTTTCTATTTTTTAAGATTTCTTACACATTTTGTCTTGGAAAAATATCAATGGTTAATGCTTGTCTTTTCTAGTGAAATTCCTGAAAGTCCGCCCCAAGGTGATGACGGGAATCAATCGGAAGAAATAGAATTTTAAATAAATGAAAATCTTGTATTATTTTTGCTATTGAAATAGGTATTTAAATTTTTTTATTAGTGAAATGTTCTCTGTATTGTCTACTGATTGTAAAATAATTAAGTGATTTCTTGACAACAAGCCGGTATTTTTGAATCGCAGGCAATGATAAACAATCTCTGCGACTTTTTTGACACTTTTTTCCACAACTCTATTGTCACGACCTTTTTCTTCGGGACTTTATTTTCGCGACACTTTTTTCTGGAATTTATTTTCGCGACTCTTTTTTGGAATTTATTTTCCCGACTCTTTTTTCTGGAATTTATTTTCCAGACTCTTTTTTTCTGGAATTTATTTTCTGGAATTTATTTTTTTCTGGAATTTATTTTCTGGAATTTATTTTCCCGACTCTTCTTAATGGAATTTATTTTCCCGACTCTTTTTTCTGGAATTTATTTTCCCGACTCTTTTTTCTGGAATTTGTTTTCGCGACTCTTTTTGGGGGGAATATATTTTCGCGACTCTTTTTTCTGGAATTTATTTTCGCGATTCTTTTTGGGGGGGGATTTATTTTCGCGACTCTTCTCGAAGTTTTTCCCCATTTTTTCCAATAAAAAATTATTAAAAGACATCGAAATAGACCTCTGGAAATCGAAAAAAGCAGTCAAACGAAAGGTATTTCCATTTTAAATGCCCTTGGGGTTGGTTAATGATATTTTTTAATGTTTTAAATGGTATTTAGCTAAATACCAAAGTTTTATAGAGCTTTGGCTACTGAAGTGAGGTACCGGTATCGAATTCCTAAATGGGACATCCATTGAAATTTGAAAAGGTCCAAACTTCACTTATCTAGGGCCATAATTTCCATTTAATATGTGCATCCCCTCATTGAAGGGTCCGGATGTCCAATGAGGTGTTTTAGTGATATCCAAGGTGGAAAAAGTGATATCCTAAAGGGGTTTATAGTAAGATATTCTCTGGGAAAACGTCCACAAATTGCATCCAAGGGGGTTCCAAATTTTTTATATCCTAAGGGACCGCTCATTATTTATTGTACAGGGGGGGATTGAGGAGAAACTGGGGGGGGCCTTTAAATTTTTCAAAACCTGAAAGGGGGGCTTTGAAAAAATACAGAGAGACGAAAGAAGGGGGGCTTTGAAAATATTTACCAGTTTGAAAAAACAGTAGTTTTAAAAATGTATCACAAAACAACTTAACAACAAATAACAATATTTATAGACTTTAATATTCATAAATGGAAGTCAAATAAAAAGTCTCTCGTGTTCATGTAAATAGACAATTCCCATTATAGACTAATTTTAGAACTAGGCAAAGAGATGCAAATCAAGGCCGGATTTTGGTGAAAATAGTGGGGGAGGTGGACAAAAATTTTAGGAGAGGTGCAGCGGTCTAGCTCACAACTCCCATGGAAAGTTAGGGCTTATTGTAGAAGAGGCCAATATCAACGAGGTGAGGTATGCATGTAGGGTACATATGTACCAGTGTATTAATGAATTATGAATGTATGACTCCAATCTTGCCCTTCATTACAATTGCTACACTGTTTCTTTCAAAACATTGCATTAGAAGGGTGCTTGACATGGCTATCACTGTTTCAATTTTACAGAGAAAACTTTCTTACGTCACAAAATGTAGATCCTAAGCAACCATCACATTTTCACTTTGTTCCATCATTGAAACTTTCCCAAGGGGAAGTGCATGACCTTTCAAGAGAGGTGAAAAAATTCTCAGGGGAGGTGCAAAACGATCTCTGGGGAGGTGCGCACCTCTCCACACTTCCCTCAAAATCCGGCCTTGATGCAAATAAATCACCACAGCTAGAAAGAGCATACTAAAATAAGTAAATTATTGCAAAGTTTGGTTGCGAATTGTTGCAAAATACGGAAAATATAGCCTTGCAAAGTTTGCAAATTTTGTACACTTTTGTATTGCGAAAATTGCAATTATACAAAAGAATACAAAATTTGCAAACTTTGAAAGGCTATATTTTCTACATATTTTACAACATTTTGCAACCAAACTTTGGAATTTTAGTAATTTAAAGCCCCGTTTACACTACGCTCAATTTTTGGTACGGCACGGATAAAATTGGTACCCGTACCACTTTTTTTGTTCTTTTTTTGTACCAAAAAGTGGTACGGTACCAAAAATTGAGCGTAGTGTAAACGGGGCTTAGCTAAATAGGTAGTCCAAGAACCAAAAAAGTGGTACGGGTACCAATTTTATCCGTGCCGTACCAAAATTGAGCGTAGTGTAAACGGGGCTTTAGTATGCCCTTCCCGGGAATATACTTTTTTTGCTAAGATAAAAAATTAGTCTATAATGGGAATGTCTATTGGTCCCCATTACCTATTTTTCTTTCTCTAAAATAAACAGCTAGAGTTTTTGTTTCTCTAAATAAAGATAAAGAGCTAGAGGGGGGGGAGGCAAAATTTATGTTCTTGTTTTGCCTGTGGGGGGGGGGGCTTTGAAAATTTTACTTGTCTTAAGAGGGGGGCAACGAAAAAATATTACATCTGTAGAGTTTCTCCTCAGTCCCCCCCTGTACAATAAATAATGAGCGGTCCCTAAGGGGATTATGAAGGGACCCCTCAATAGGGGGGGGGGGTTGCCTATATATTAAATGGAATGGCCCATATTCTGGTAAACTTCAAAGAAATGGGCAAAAAATATTAGACAAAAATGCCAACTTAACATCTTGTGTGGCAACTTGAATATGGATGGACATGGCCTGTTGGTCACTCTGAAAATTCTTGTTTGCCCACAACTATGGCCAATCATTTGTTTTACACACACGTAATAAATGATTGTATTCTCTATCATTACAAATATTATTCTCTACATTGATGTAAAAATAAATCAATAAATACTTATTATTTACATTTTATGAAATATAGAAAGTTAAAAACTACGATTCCTACGAATCCACGGACATGGCATCAGTGCTCCCATTAACCTCAGCGGCCTGATCTGACGAGGTTAACGAGCTATCAAGCGACTCATTGGATGTCGAGTGAGATAACGAGTCAGACATTGCGGACAACGAGTCGTCGGGTAAGAGTTTGTAGTCTGTTATAGTCACTGTGATGTTTCCAACTGTTACAGAAACTTCTTGTGCACTGCTTCGGTCAATATTCTTCAGGCGCGGCCTAGAAACATACGGCGATTATTAGCCTGATTTCTACAAGAGGCAAATGATCTGTTGAGATATATCACTTGCATAACAGATTGTCTATGTAAATGTAAATATGTGAAATTATTAGTGATGCACCGTAAAATAGAACACTGGTTATCAGTATTGGTTATCAGTATTGACCAATATCGGTCTTGAATATTGGTAAATTTTCATATTGGTATGTTACTAGTACCGTAAACCTCCGAATATAAGCCACCCCCGTGTATAAGCCCACCGCATGTACTAACCCACGAATATAAGCCCAGTAGCCTACTATGTTATTCAACATTGACATATTGTCTTTTAATATCGCAGAGAAGTTAGAACAATATTTAAAAACATTGTCATTGTCTTAATAGCGTACCATGTTAATCAAAGCATGTTATTAATTTTTTATTACTAACACAAAGATTGTCCATGTATAACCCCCCTTGTATAAGCCCATCAAAAATCACTTACGCAAGAATATAAGCCGGAGGTTTACGGTATATCACATTTACACACATAAACATCGATTTAGACAAATTATCAGACAATCTAAATAAACAAACCTTATTTTTCGAGGCATTTTCTTTCCGTTTAATTTCTTCCCGTTAACAGTTGCTGATGAAAATTTGTGTGCCCCTTGTTGGGCAACAATTTGTTGGTTAAGCCGAGGTTTCCTATGAAATGCAAATAATACATACGTAATTGAGTTTGCACGCAATACAACTTAAGCTACGTTTACACACAACTAGGGATGGGCGATACCAGCTTTTTCATTCGATACAATATTTCCTCGATATTTGCCTTTTTTTTCGATATCGATATTTTCCCAACTCGAACAACCATCATAACAAAAAGACTATTTTTAATCATTAACAACGGCAACAACGCTAACAATATAAACATTGAATAATATATGTCAGTGATTGCAACCAACATAACCAGAAACTCCGATTCTGCCCGTGGACCATTATAGCACCATAGAAAATGAACTACTTTTATAGTATTTATGCCTATTTAGGCTTAAAGTTTTTCTTTTTGAGCTTTTTGGTATCATTTTCATGATGATGCCGCTGACCAAAATAAAAATATCGCAGGCGCAGATATATCGAAACATCGATATTTCTTGCCAGTATCGATACTTTTCTTCAAAACGATAGTATCGAGTATTTGGTATCGATATCGGACCATCCCTACAGACCCTACACACAACGATTGATCTGGCCGATTTCAGTTGGGCAGTTATTAATATTTATTTATTTATTTATTAACTTTACAACCATACATAAAATAAATTAAACCACTACATAATATGGTTGAAGGTATGATCAACAGGACATGAATAGCCCCATGTGAAGACCAACCTTAATACCAATACCAAGACCTCGGGGCACAAAACAGTTTCAAATGGCACAGGCTTGCCAAATATTTATTTTACTTGGACAGACAAATGTCTGGCGAAGCCAAAAATTGTTCGGACAAAAATATGTTGTCAACATCATCTGACAACATTGTCAACTGACAACATATTTTTGTCTGACCAATTTTTGGCTTGGCCAGACATTTGTCCGTCCAAGTAAAATAATTATTTGCAGGACTGTGCCAATATAAACTGTTTTGTGCCCCGAGGTCTTGGTATGAATAACTGGGAAAGGGGTAGGCCCTAACCCTAATAACATGTGGATGGTATTCTAAAATAACTCATTGGAATGGCAAATATTTTACACATCTTCACTCATAATAAGTAACACCTGTTGAGCATAGAAATGAGAATATTTGCATTCCTTTCTAAAGGCTTGAATCATTCTACAATATTCCTTACCTAGTCGAGGTGCCTTTACGAACGTCACACATTCGGCACTTGAAAGCTTCAGGGCTATTTTTATACGTACAGACACTGCAATCCCAAAACGCCTCTTCCAAAATAATCTCTCTGTTGCTTTAAAACACAGAAAAACACGTCGTGATCTTTTAAACGCACAAAATTGAATACATTCCTAATTGAATACATTCCTGTGTTCTAATTTGACTAATTTGCTACAAATATTGTTAATTTGCTACAAATTTCACTAAATTGCTACAAATTGCGCTCCCTTGGGACCTGAAATCTCGGTGAGATGTCACAAATATGTAATATCGTGTGTTGAAAATGTGCCAAAAATATGATTTCCCATTGAAATGCTTCACTAAAAGGCTCTTTATTGGCAAGACCGAATCAGAAATATTTCAAATCAATGTTTATACTTACTCGTTTTGATCTGTATGGTTGGAAGGATAAGGGTTTGTTTCCATTTGCCTGTGAAAGCTACTGGAGACTTTGCCTTTCTCGAGAAACCACGCCACGGTGTTTTGAAATCGATCATGTTACATTTTGGGGATCGATTTCAAAACAAAGGGGAAGTTTGGCGCTATTTTGGAGTTGCTGTAAATACACGAATTCGAAAGCAGCACGCACCGACGTCCTCGGTAGTATAGTGGTGAGTATCCCCGCCTGTCACGCGGGAGACCGGGGTTCGATTCCCCGCCGGGGAGATATTTTTTTACATTTTAGATTTGATTTTTTTTCTCAAATTCTCACTTATTTTTATTCAATTACTTCTGTTTGACAAGTTGAGTCCAGTGTTTTTTCCGGTTTCTTCATAAAAAATGATGCTTCTTATCGCATTATTTGAGTCGGAGAATTATAAATTTGGTAATTATTTGAGCCATAAAAATTCCACAAAAGAAAACCATTCATATTCATATATGTTTTGGTTTGTGTAAAACAAGTATTTCAGAATGCATTGAGATTAAAAATTAGATTCCATTTCAAACTTTTAGTGGTTGGTTTATAGTACATATTTTCACAACTTCTCATACCGAAATCCTCGGTAGTATAGTGGTGAGTATCCCCGCCTGTCACGCGGGAGACCGGGGTTCGATTCCCCGCCGGGGAGGTTCGTTTTTCGATATTTTCCCTCAGATTTTGGTGCTCAATTTTTTCCTTCGCTAAATGGACATTAGAAGTTCACAACTGACGCCTGGTTACTATTAAACGTACTTTTTTGTTGATTTTAGAAAAGTTTTTAATTCTCAAATTCGTGTCCGGATTGCAACCTGCACGCAGGTGTAGTAATTGCAAAACACTGATCTCTGCACCGGAATCGCAGGGCCGTAGGTTCAATTCCTACCAGAGGACCTTGTGCTGCATTTTTCGCAGTCGTTCCTGGTCAGGTCTTAAAATGTATATAATCACTTGGATTACAAACCCTAACATTCTAATAATAATTCCACCAAGTGAAGTGCAAAGACGGCCACATCATTCAAGTCCACCTTATCACAACCCGCACATCCGATTACCTATATATACATGAACTTACGGTTACAGCTCAACAGCTGGCCTCTGTAGCTCAGTTGGTTAGAGCGCTGCACCGGAATCGCAGGGCCGTAGGTTCAATTCCTACCAGAGGACCTTGTGCTGCATTTTCGCAGTCGTTCCTGGTCAGGTCTTAAAATGTATATAATCACTTGGATTACAAACCCTAACTTCTAATATTAATTCCACCAAGTGAAGTGCAAAGAAACCTGCACATCATTCAAGTCCACCTTTGAAACATGACCTTTTAAAATATGATATATCTATCAACTTTAGGGTTAGAGGTTGGGGTTAGGGTTGGGCTTACGGTTATTCTAATTGTAGACCATTCCAACCCAATACCTTATTATGATACAACGCCAATAGATTACGATATTTCTCTGTACAAACCTCGCGTTCGGTTAATAAGAAGTTATTAGGGAGTTTAAGCTTCACGTTTCATATTTTATTTCTTGTGTCGAAAGAACAATCATCAATCATTTTTTAATTTAATTTATAAACTTTGCCGATGAAACAGTACATTACATGACAGGACAAAAACAAACGTACATAATGAAATACAGTAGGTACATGACCACGGCTGGGTGACCGCAACAGCGAATAGCCAATTACTGCGGGCCCGAATTTATTTATTGCCTGGTACCGTAAAATTTTTCTTTGCCTGGCGTATGCCGTTTGACGTTTAACACGAAGGCTCGAAGCTTGAGCTCTCTATTAATGAATTTTTTATCACATTGGCACATTGCCATTCCCAACACTGCCGTCTTTAAAACGCTTTAATGAAACCCATCATTTATTTTTTTGATGTTTTCAAACTAATCATTGTATTTCTTGTTCGTTCTCAAAATATCTTCCCATCAAGTCATTAACACATTGCCAAATCTGTTCATTTCTATTAAACTGTAACGCGTCAAGACGGGCGACTCCTTCCGCCTTTTCAAACACACCTCGACTTTCAGGGAAAGTTCGGAGCATCATCTCGATGAATTGTAAAGCTAAAAATGTCAACTCGTCATCTTGTGACTTCAGAAGTTGTAGGAATTTTCCAAGTGCGTCGAGTTTCATGATTTCACGTAAATATTCCTCGCTTTTGTACCCAATGTTTAACAGAACTATGGCACTCTAAAGTAAATTTAAAGTTCGTTAGGAAATTTAAACGCATGGGCGTACGGGGCTGGTGCTTTGAAATGTTTCCCCAATTTCTATGGTTCTCTAAAGTTTTGAGGACAGTTGCCGCCCCCCTGTCCCCTGTTTCGTACGCCTATGCCTAAACGAAACTAACTGAGTTCTGGCGTTTGAAAACCAAGTTCTGCCCATTTGAAAAGGCAACCTCGTTCCTAGGGAAGAGCCTGGGAACGAGGTTGTTGAAAAGGGAGTTCTGGGCATTTGTAAAGGGAGTTCTGGCGTTTCAGTTCTGGCACTTCTGCCATTTGAAAAGGGAGTTATGGCATTTGAAAAAGGAGTTCTGGCATTTGAAAAAGGGAGTTCTGGCATTTGAAAACCAAGTTCTGCCATTTGAAAAGGGAGTTCTGGCATTTGAAAAGGGAGTTCTGGCATTTGAAAACCAAGTTCTACTATATTTGAAAAGGGAGTTTTGGCATTTGTAAAGGGAGTTCTGGCATTTGAAAAGGGAATTCTAGCATTTGAAAAGGGAGTTCTGGCATTTGAAAACCAAGTTCTGCCATTTGAAAAGGGAGTTCTGTCATTTGAAAAAGGAGTTCTGGCATTTGAAAAAGAGTTATGGCATTTGAAAACCAAGTTTTGTCATTTGCAAAGGGAATTCTGGCATTTGTAAAGGAAGTTCTGGCATTTGAAAAGGGAGTTCTGGCATTTGAAAAGGAAGTTCAGGCATTTGAAAACCAAGTTTTGTCATTTGAAAAGGGCGTTCTGGCATTTGTAAAGGGGGTTCTGGTATTTGTAAAGGGGGTTCTGGCATTTGAAAATGGAGTTCTGGCATTTGAAAAGGGAGTTCTGGCATTTGAAAACCAAGTTTTGTCATTTGAAAAGGAAGTTCTGCCATTTGAAAAGGGAGTTCTGTCATTTGAAAAAGGAGTTCTGGCATTTGAAAAGGGAGTTCTGGCATTTGTAAAGGGAGTTCTGGCATTTGAAAAGGGAGTTTTGGCATTTGAAAAGGAAGCCCTGCCATTTGAAAAGGGAGTTCTGTCATTTGAAAAAGGAGTTTTGGCATTTGTAAAGGGAGTTCTGGCATTTGAAAAGGGAGTTCTGCCATTTGAAAAAGGAGTTCTGCCATTTGAAAAAGGAGTTCTGGCATTTGAAAACCAAGTTCTGCCATTTGAAAAGGGAGTTCTGCCATTTGAAAAGGGAGTTCTGGCATTTGAAAGCCAAGTTCTGGCATTTGAAAACCAAGTTCTGGCATTTGAAAAGGGAGTTATCGTGCTGGGACTGACCTCCTTCTGAATATCAAAAGTCGCATCTAACATTTCCACAACAATCGGAAGTAAGCCAGCATCCAACACAGCCTTGACACTCTGATGTGAGCCAGCAGCCAGATTGGACAGCAGCCATAGACTTTCTTTTCTCACGTGATGAATCGATGACGACAGCAATGATGTCATAGCTTTTAATAGAAGCCCGCTTCTAAGAGCCTCTTCACCAAACTGGTCAGGGCCACTGCATATGTTTCCTTAGAAAGATAAACATAAACTTTGGTTTGATCATCTGCTTTGACATAGTCAGAGCCCCGGAAACATTGTTTCCTGGTTTGTCCACCTTCGGAAAACATGGCTATGAAACAATGGCTGTCCACTGGTTTGTCCACCTTTGGGAAACATGGCTAGGAAACAATGTTTCCTGGTTTGTCCACCTTTGGGAAACATGGCTAGGAAACAATGTTTCCTGGTTTGTCCACCTTTGGGAAATATGGCTAGGAAACAATGTTTCCTGGTTTGTCCACCTTTGGGAAACATGGCTAGGAAACAATGCTTTTCACAGCAAAGTTTTCCAAAAGGCCTTTATCAAATGAATGAAAAACAGCTCTTGATTACCTAAAGTTCGAATGATTGGCGTCATAACTTGAACTGAATCAGGCAATACAAAACACCTCGCCAAAAATTCTACAACAAAGGAGACACTAATCCCACACGAGAAAAGATATTCGACACTTTCATTATTCGCACTGAAGTAAGTCAAAATCCAGGCTAGTTCTGTGATCACATCAGCTGAGGTTGAGGAATTTTTAAAAAGTTTGAAGAGGACTGTCCCAACTCCAGATTTTCCAAACTCTTCAAAAATTCGTTCATCGTTGCTTTGTGCCAGGTTGCATATGGCAAATGCTGCAGACTGCACCACGTTCGAAAACGTACTCTTAAAAAACGTTAATAAAACATTTTAGTGATCATTAAATTTGTGTGGTGATAAAATGTGCATTGATAAACAGTCTAAATGTGCAGTGACAACTTTTGTTGTAATAAATTCTTAATCAAATTTATTAAGGGTCTTCGAATTTCTTCAAACTAAATTTTTTCTTAAAATTGAAAGGGCTGTTTTTTAGCTTGTGCATAAAAATGAAGGTTGTCTTTTGACACATTTTCACGCCACCTTAGTCCACCTACAAACCATGGATATCATTGGTATCAACACATGTACCAAAATGTACCTACTTTCAATAAGTGAACCAAGGGATCCACTGCACCTTGATCCAGCATTATCCTCCTACATTCCTCACAATCCCCAGCAAGGTTGCCGAGCGTCCATGCGCAGAGATCTTGTAGCAACACATTGCTACCTCTGAGGTATGTGATTAAATAAGCACCACCGGCTTTTAGGATGTGTACAGCGTGGTCCCGCGTGGATCCCGCGAGATTCGTGAAACACCACGCAGCCTCGATTTGAAGATCAATGTCATTACCTGTTGAAATATGTTGATAGGTTCATATAAAGTATTGAACTGTTCTATCATTATTTGTGTTTCACTTTTGTACTGGCATATTTTGTCTTCTGTGTAAAGCAAAATAAAGGACATAGAAAATTTTACGACTTTTAGACACTCTAGTCTCCATGCACCATAAGGCTTGACACAATGTCAATGACAACAAGCCGCTTTGTTTCGTGTAAGGGCAAAACACCTAATTAGGAATTTCAGAGTTCTATTGTTTATAAATTCTCCTGTCCAGGCTGCTCTAAATCTTACATAGGAAAGACCGACAGATGCCTTCACGCAGGACTCAATGAACATGGAACAACTGACAAATCTCAGATTTACAAACACATCAACACTTGCAAACACTTCACCTACATCACCAACCTAATGACACTTAACATCGACGATTCTGACACAAACGAACGGTTTGACCTAACACTTTTCCTTCTCCACAACTCCATCATCCTGGACAAGGCAAAACACTGGTCAGTGTTATTATTCAAAGAAGCACTCGCCATTCACAGGCAGAAACCGAAAAAATCAACCGTTGCATCAAGCGTCCTGAGAACTATTGGTTTTTTACTAGTAGATATTAAATTACAAACTATCCGCTGTACATATTGGCATTACTATGTAACATTATCCATTCCTGATGATGACTGAATAAAGTCGAAACGTTGAATAAAAAACGTTGTCTTTATTCGGAGTTACAGTTGTTGTGATTTCATGAAAATGCTCAGTGGTTCCCGCAATAGACAATTCCCATTATAGACTAATTTCTTATTAACAGTATAGTAATACTAATAGTATATATATTCCTGGAAAGAGCATACTAAAATGAGTAAAATTGCAAAGTTTGGTTGCGAAATGTTGTAAAATCGGTGGAAAATATAGCCTTGCAAAGTTCGCAAATTTCGTATACTTTTGTATTGCGTGCGGAAATTACTACCATTTTCGGCCCAAATGTGGTAGGAATTTCCGCACGCGATACAAAATGTGCGAACTTTGCAAGGCTATATTTTCCGTATTTTACAACATTTTGCAACCAAACTTTGCAATTTTACTCATTTTAGTATGCTCTTTCTAGCTGTGGTGATTTATTTGCATCTCCTTGCCTAGTTTTAAAATTTAACCTGATTACCTGTTAAGAATCTAACTAGCGACTGCAGAGCTCCATCTTGCGCTATAAACGTATCTGCAATCAAGTTTCCTTGTGTAAAACCCCTTTTCAACTTTCTTAAAATATCTAAACTATCTGGTCCTTGTTTTCGAATAGCTCTCGACAAAGAAATCGCATCTTCAACTGTTAAATTAAAAGGATCGCTATTCTCGCCACTCTCCTCGTATCTTAGTCGTTTCAAACTTAATATTTTATCGCGTTTCTCTTTCCTCAAACCACAGTGTTCTTGTCGTTTTCGTGTGCGAAGTTTGTCTACCGTATCCGATGCCGCTTTGTACAAGTGTTTCCTCTCCATATTTTTAGCAAATTTAGACTTGGTTATCCAAACTTAACTATATAAATCTGTTCCCTCGATTCCCCAGGCTAAATCCCAAGTGCTCCTGATGGTTTATTTGCGTTATTTCTCAAAATATTTCAGTTTATTTAGAATTTTTATAACCAAACTTGATTTTTCAAAAAAAATCCGCCATCTTGGAAATGAGCCTGCAAGCTGTCTTGTATTCGCTTTTCTCACTCGACAAAAATAACTGAGAAAAAAAATCAAAATTTATTTCTTTTTAAAACAGTTTTTCTCATAATAAAACGCATTAATTTAAGAATAACTCTTTAAAATATTACTTATCCTTACCCCAAGGCTAAAATGGAACCCTCTGAAGTGTTCAAAATTAAGTTTATTTAAAATTTGATGAAATTAAAAATTTCGACAATTTTTCGTCTTTTCGGAGGCGGAGCCACTATAATATTCTTACATGAAATTCGAGAGTGGTCGCCATTTTGTCAGGCGCCATATTTGAAATTATTTGTTTATTTTGTTTAGAATTTTCGTGTTTGTGTCTGGAAAAGAATCGAAAGGTTATTTGGAACGATTTTAATATGGCATCGAGCTTGGTAAGCAGAGAATTTGTTTGATTCAGTTCGTAGATTATTTTATGCAGAAAGTTGTTTTATATAAATAATTAAGTTCAGTTTTTTATTTTAATATATAAGTGTCTTATATTTCTAGGAGGACCCAACAATGGAGAGACATTTCAAAGGGCATAGAGACATTGTAACGTCTGTTGATTTCAATCCAAATATGAAACAAATTGGTAGGTCTCAATTGCCATTGTTTACTTCTGAAGATCAACCTTCACTGATACAGATAGAAACATTGAGTATTTTGAAATATATATATTATTATGTGTTGTTATTGTTCACTTGGTAATTTAGCCTGTGTGGCAGGCTCATGGGAGAAAGATTTCTCCCATGAGCCTGCCACGCAGCCTACTCGGTAATACGATAAGGAGAAAATGTTCTTGAGTGACATATATCATAATTTCCAGACAGCGCGCAACTTTGCTTACTGCGGCTGGCTTTTGAACCCGCAAACCTATGAGTTACTAGATTGATGCTCTACCAACTGAGCTACACACGGTACACTATACATAATTCCATCCTGACCGTGTGTAGCTCAGTTGGTAGAGCATCGATCTAGTAACTCAAAGGTTGCGGGTTCGAAAGCCAGCCGCATCAGGCAAAGTTTTCTGATTGCGCGCTGTCTGGAAATTAAGATATATCTCACTATACATATATATATATATATATATATATATATATATATATATATATATATATATATATATATATATATATATATATATATATATATATATATATGGTGTTCAAAATGAAAAAAATTAAAAATAAAAAATTTTAAAAAATTTAATGTGCTGCTACTTAAGTTTCACGTATACCGATTGTCAGCTGTCTGACGATCGGTATACGTGAAACTTAAGTAGCAGCACATTAAATTTTTTAAAATTTTTTAAAATTTTTTATTTTTAATTTTTTTCATTTTGAACACCATATTAAGCTCTGCGAATTTCCCGCATCGAGCACTGTACTCGTTTTGGCTTCAACAACCAAGCAAGTTATATATATATATATATATATATATATATATATATATATATATATATATATATATATATATATATATATATATATATATATATATATATATATATATATATATATATATATATATATATATACTGAGAAAATGTTCTCGAGATCATGTAATTTATTTGTCTTATTTTCTAAATGTTCTAGTGAGTGGTTCAATGGATTCATGTCTGATGATCTGGCATTTCAAACCACATCTCAGAGCTTACCGTTTTGTTGGCCACAAGGTATTCAGTAGCAAAGGGCGGCACAGATATCCAACATATCCATTATCTGTCCAGATAGTAAAATGCTCCATCCCAGTCAAAACCTAAAATTTGCATAATATTGTATAGGATGCTATCTTGTCTGTGAAATTTTCACCGTCTGGGCATCTGATTGCATCAGCGTCGCGTGATAAAACCGTCAGACTTTGGGTACCAAGTGTGTAAGTCCTAAAATGTCTAGGCTATACATGTGAAAAATCTCAAGTAGCAATTAGTGTGCCAACAAGCTGTCAATAAGTTGTGTTCGCAAGTTGTCAACAAGTTTGGAACAAGCTGTTAACAACTTGTAACAATTAAGCTTGTTGATGTTATTGACTTGATGTAAGGTTGTTCCAACAAGTCTGATAAAGTCATGATAATATATACAGTATATAACAATATTGTTACAACCTTGTGTCATCAAACTTGTAACATTCTTGTTATATCATGACTGTATATCAGACTTGTTAGAACAACTTTGCTACAAGCTTGTTCCAAGTTGTTAACAGCTTGTTCCAAACTTGTTATAACAACTGGGAACAAGCAGTGCGAACACAACTTGTGAACAGATTTGTAACAACTTGTGCAAGTTTATTACCTATATAATATTTATTGATTATATTTGTTTTTACTTCTATTTAATAGGAAAGGTGAAAGTACAGTTTTTAAAGCGCATACAGCAACTGTACGTAGCGTTGACTTCTCAAATGATGGTCAGTTTTTGGTCACAGCCTCGGATGATAAGTCTCTAAAGGTAAGTGAATGGAATGTTATCCAATTGATATATTATATTGTACGCCTTTATTATAAACTGGCCCCGAAATTATTTTTAAATGCGCAAATTTAAATGCAAGTATAGTTTATTTAAAGATATAATCATAAATTTTGGTTTAGGTTTGGTCAGTTCATCGACAGAAATTTCAATTTTCCTTGAACGCTCACATGAACTGGGTGAGATGCGCAAGGTCAGTTGTACGCAGAGCCCAGGCCTTAAAATATATTTTCCAGGACCGTCTGGCAAAATGTCCGATGACGTTGAGTTTAAATTTAAATTTATTAACTTTGCCAGATTCAAACAATTAACGTTAACGCAAAAACTGGCAGGGCAATCGCAACAGCTTGCGCCAATTACTGCGATCCCTAAATGTTAAACAAATACACTATATACGTACGATGCATCTGGAGGACAAATTAGCAATCTATGCATAATATAACTTTTGTAAACAAATTAAAATGGTTAATTTTTGCGCTGTATGTGGTTGTTATAATTTTGTACCCGAACAGTTAATAGAGACCTTACGATTTTAGGACGGCAACGGCTACCAATACAATAGATCATTGAAAAGAATTGAGTAATTACAATATATGAATAATTTAGACATTGTCCTCGCTCTGTTTACAACGCTAAATCACAGATTTTCACGTCTTGATACAACGGCTGCATTCCAAGCCGCAACAAGTGCAACTTCAAACTGGGTTCAGCAGAACTCTTCCCAACCATAAAACCCATGTCTTCGACTTCTAAAACTGTATTAAATTCATACGATTGATAATATACCACGAACTATCTTTACTACCATTTATTTGAAGGAGTTTGTTTTGGCTGTCGCCGTCGCAAAATCGTAAGGTCTCTATTGTTAGGCCGGAGCATCTGGAGGACACTAAGGATTTGTAACGTCAGTGCAATGAGTCTATTGGAAGCAACCCGTTCTGAAACAACTGAGGCCGTTTTGTTCTTGCAGATTTTCACCAGACGGAAGATTGATAGCGTCAGCCAGTGATGACAAGACTGTCCGACTTTGGGACAGAAATAGCAAAGAAAGCGTGCACACATTTTACGAACACGGAGGGTACGTCATTAACTTCAAAGCGTGTTTTTAAATATTCCCAAGCTCGTTTCTAAATTTGGAATGTTTTGGGCATGGGCTAAAGTACAGATTCTGAAATACAGTGAAGTACCGAAGTACTGAACATACGCCCGTATTCTAAAAGCTCACTCCCACTCAATGAGTGGAGGTTTAATCTGAGCTTCTCTTGAGTGTTAATTGCTGTTTTTGAATAGCTCGAGGGCTAGTATCATACCTTATTCGGTGACTACTCACCCTCCAGCTATTCAAAAACAGCATTGACACTCGAGAGAAGCTCAGATTGAACCTCCACTCATTGAGTGTGAGTGAGCTTTTAGAATACGGGCGATAGACTCCGTACTGTAAAACCTACATACTGTACCTACTTGCAATATTTTTCCCATCAAATTGACAAACATTATTGATCGTGTTATCTTCTTATAGTTTTGTGAACCAAGTGGAATTTCATCCTAATGGTACTTGCATAGGAACTGGTGGTTCAGATAATTCTGTGAAAGTATGGCACTATATATGAGTATTTTATATATTGCTTTGGTGATGTACCATAGACGCACGAGAGGGGGGGGGGCTAGGAGGGGGGCGTGGTACTGCAACTCCCAGTCCGTGTTCAGTCGGATACATTCTACCTAAAAATCGGGCACCTTGGTATAGTCCTGCTTGCTTCGTAAAGGAGGATTTTCATTCAGTGCAAAATGTATGTCGCACGATCGATTTTTTGCGATCGCTCTCGTTTGAAATGTGTGCAGTCAAACATCGGCATTAACTATTTCGCTGACCTCAGAATGACATTTCGACAAAACTTTTTTCTTCAAGATTGGTTTAGAAACAAATTTGGAGTAGGATTAGGTTAGGGTAAGGATTAGAGTTAAGGTTAGAGTTGGTGTTTGGAGTAGGGTTAGTGTTAGTAAAACCGTTGCTTTGTTACGTTTTGTCACTCTGAGGCCAGCGAAATAATCTCTTCCTCAAACATCGCGCAATATTTTGCACTGATTCGAAATCCGCCTTTATACGTATAATGCATTTTGTGATTTTTGTCATGATAGCAAAACTAGTTTCCATATGATCGTAGTGATTGCGTCACGATCTTTCTCATCAGCCGAAATACAACGTTTTAGAACTGAAAATTCGCGGAGTGATTATAATTAGAGAATACTTATGATTTATATGTGGTTTACAGGAATATAAAACTATTATAAACTGGCCGTTGAGAAAGATCGTGACTCTATTTTTACGACCCTATGGAAGGCTGGAAGCCAGGCTTAATATTGCAATCAATAATTTTTATTTGTCACTTATAGGTTTGGGATATCCGAATGAACAAACTACTTCAACATTATCAAGGTTTGTGCCTTACTTGACAAACTACTGTCGATATGTTTTCAGTTTTTATAAAATATTTTTTATCTGTTTTTAGCTCACACAAACGCCGTCAATAGCGTGTCGTTTCATCCGTCTGGTAACTACATGATAACGGGTTCTGCTGACACCACGTTGAAGGTACTACTGTAATGGTATTATTAATATTTTCTGGGTAGGATTTTAGAGACTTAGTAATTTTAGAGATTTAGGAAATGGCAACGGAGTATGTCCCTCTTTTTGTTTTTCTAAGTTAATTGTAATTCTCCAAACAGAACCTGTGATATTTATATATTTATTTTGTTTTGTCTAGATACTTGATCTAATGGAAGGAAGATTGTTTTATACACTACATGGTCACCAGGTTAGAACACAGTTAATAAAATGGTTAGAAGAAGTAGCACAACAGCAGCAACAACAACTTCAACGAACAGCAACAAAAAACAACGACAACAACAACAACAACAACTGCAACAACAAAAACAACAACGACAACAACAACAACAACAAAAACAACACAACAACAACATCAACAGCAACAACAACGACAACGACAACAACAACAAAAACAACACAACAACAACATCAACAGCAACAACAACAACAACAACAGCAACAACAACAACGACAACAACAGCGACAACAACAACAACAACAACAACAACAAAAACAACAGCAACAACAACAACGACAACATAAACAACACAACAACAGCAACAACAGCAACAACGACAACAACAACAACAACAACAACAACAACAAAAACAACAACACCAACAACAACAACCAACAAACAAACAAACAACAAACAGCTACAACAACAACAACCAACAGCTACAAGAACAAAACAACAAGAAGTGCAACATCAACAAAAAACAACAAGAAGTGCAACATCAACAAAAAACAACAAAGCAACAAAAACAAAACAACAACAACAACAAGCTACATCACTGATTTTGGTCTTTGTTTTATCAGGGCTCGGCGAATTCTGTGGTGTTTTCAAGAAATGGCGAGTACTTCGCCTCTGGCGGCTCAGACGAACAGGTGATTAAAAAATATTGTAGATACTTTCATTCTGAATAGCGTATGCACAAACTAATATAAGGAGAACTTCAAAAAATACAAGGAGAACTTCTCCTTGTATTCTTCAGGTAGTCGTATCCATGTGCAGCTTTCTTATTATTGACATTACCTACACTGGTACAGAATGTCACTCATGTGTGTTTTTCTACTTGAAGGTCATGGTGTGGAAAACTAATTTTGACAAACTCGACTACAGCGAAGGTAGGATTCCTATCTAAACCAGATGATCTTGATACGCGGAAAAGTACTGGCACTAGTTGTCAAATAGAAATCCATTTTGTGATTAAAACAACTGAATATCTCCTGTAATATACTTTATTTCGATTCCATATTTTTGTCAGAGCTATTGTTCTAATAACCAAACATAATTACAAAATTTCAACTAGTTTCATAAAGAATAACGAAAGATATAATTGACTGAATACATCAAAATGGATTTCTATTCGGACAACCCTTTCTGAGCGCTGATTGGCTAAAATACGAACACGAGATCACCTGGAATAAAAACGTATTTACAATCGTTTACATTGCGTTAAAAACCAGCTCTCGTGGTCACCAAGCTTGCCTTTCAAGCCGGGAGACCCGGGTTAAATTTTTCTCGGACCTTTACTCAAGGTCTTAAAATAATTGAGAAAGTGCTTCCTTTACATTGACATCAGTAAATGGTTAGACTTTCCCATCTTCGCGGATAAGGACGTTAAAATCGTGGGTACCTCAGATCCCCTATCAATTGTTGAATCATTTTCGTTGTAGTTCTGACATCAAGACGAAGAACAGTAACAACACCAACCAAACATAGCCACGACCTGCCCCCAACACCCGAGGTAAGAAAGGGTACGGATGAATAAGTGCAGGTGTGCGAATCATCCTTACTTGCAGCTGAGAGCTAAGCTGAATTACGAAGGACGCAGCTCAACCTGATCGAGTCGAAGGTTTTCTAAGGGCGCCTCTGACAGCCACCTTATGACTCATGTCTGATCACGAGCACAGCTACTGTGGAAGGGTCAGTTTGGGGCTAATCTCAATTGGGGGCTAATCCTAACCCAGTAAACTCACCCTGTCAACATTCCCTGTGGGAAAAAATGGAGTCGGTAGGTAACGACATAAAAAACAACGTTAGGATCGCAACCATTTTATCAGGCCTTCTCATGTGTACCATGCTGGGATTTAAAGTGGAATGCGAATTATTGCACACACCATTTGAAAATTCTGTATTCTCCCTCCAGATTCATGCGCCATCAAAACCTAAAAACATGGCATTGAATGACCCAGAAGTTGTTGAAGTTGCTCCCGCAATGTTTTCAATACCCACGGTAAGTTTGCAACGACTAACTTGCTATTATAGAATATAGATCAATGTTGAACTTAGTGGGAACTCTAGGTTAGAGTTATATAGAACAGATAGAGTTATATAGATCCAGTATAAATAAAGTTAGTTTAGTTTAGGTTTCCTCCTGTAGTAACACTGGATCAATAAGAGATGATCCTTACTGGACCTCTAAGAAGAACAGTTTAGAACTGATAGAGCTATCCAGTATAAATAAAGTTAGTTTAGGTTTCCTCCTGTAGTAACACTGGATCAATAAGAGATGATCCTTACTGGACCTCTAAGAAGAACAGTTTAGAACTGATAGAGCTATCCAGTATAAATAAAGTTAGTTTAGGTTTCCTCCTGTAGTAACACTAGATCAATAAGAGATGATGCTTACTGGACCTCTAGGAAGAACAGTTTAGAACTGATAGAGCTATCCAGTATAAATAAAGTTAGTTTAGTTTAGGTTTCCTCCTGCAGTAACAGTGGATCAATAAGAGATGATTCTTACTGGACCTCTAGACAGAACAGTTTAGAACTGATAGAGTTATCCTGTTTTTACTGTGTGCCCTAGCAAAAGCTGTTCTTATACCAAACACCCGGAGAAAACCTACTCTGTTTGGTAGAGTTGAATTTCCAAATGTTTTGCAGGAGAAAAGTCACATGGACAAAGCGACGAGGTCTGAGGCGAGGCATTTGGGACAGCCTCCCAATCAAGTCGAAGCCCCGTTGACCACGCCTTTAGAAAGACGAGAAATACCGGCTCAACTTGCCACAACATTGGAACACATTGTGGGACAGCTCGATGTCTTGACACAGGTATTTAATGACCTCTTACTGAGTATAGTATATATTTAGCCAAGTGGGATGCAGTAGCCCTTACTGTGGACCTGATAGAGCTATCCAGTATAAATAAAGTTAGTTTAGTTTAGGTTTCCTCCTGTAGTAACACTGGATCAATAAGAGACGATTCTTACTGGACCTCTAGGAAGAACAGTTTAGAACTGATAGAACTATCCAGTATAAATAAAGTTAGTTTAGTTTAGGTTTCCTCCTGTAGTAACACTGGATCAATAAGAGACAATTCTTACTGGACCTCTAGGAAGAACAGTTTAGAACTGATAGAACTATCCAGTATAAATAAAGTTAGTTTAGTTTAGGTTTCCTCCTGTAGTAACACTGGATCAATAAGAGATGATCCTTACTGGACCTCTAGGAAGAACAGTTTAGAACTGACAGAGCAATCCAGTATGAATAAAGTTAGTTTAGTTTAGGTTTCCTCTTGTAGTAACACTGAATCAATAAGAGATTATCCTTACTGGACCTCTAGGAAGAACAGTTTAGAACTGACAGAGCAATCCAGTATGAATAAAGTTAGTTTAGTTTAGGTTTCCTCCTGTAGTAACACTGGATCAATAAGAGATGATCCTTACTGGACCTCTAGGAAGAACAGTTTAGAACTGATAGAACTATCCAGTATAAATAAAGTTAGTTTAGTTTAGGTTTCCTCCTGTAGTAACACTGGATCAATAAGAGATGACTCTTACTGGACCTCTAGGAAGAACAGTTTAGAACTGATAGAGCTATCCAGTATAAATAAAGTTAGTTTAGTTTAGGTTTCCTCCTGTAGTAACACTGGATCAATAAGAGATGATTCTTACTGGACCTCTAGGAAGAACAGTTTAGAAGTGATAGAGCTATCCAGTATAAATAAAGTTAGTTTAGTTTAGGTGTCTTCCTGTAGTAACACTGGATCAACAAGAGATGAGCCTTACTGGACCTCTAGAGGGAACTGTTTAGAACTGATAGACTCAGCTATCCAGTGTAAATAAAGTTAGTTTAGTTTAGGTTTTCTCCTGTAGTAATGATTCTTACTGGCCCTTTAGGGAGAACAGTTTAGAACTGACAGAGGTATCCAGTATAAATAAAGTTAGTTTAGTTTAGATTTCCTCCTGTGGTAGCACTGGATCAATAAGAGATTACTCTTACTGGAACAGTTTAGAACTGATCGAGCTATCTAGTATATAATATTTTTACGACTTCCCCCCACCTTTTCTTACAAAATAAAAATCTTCTGTTCCTTTGTTTTAAAGACCGTTTCAATATTGGAACAGAGATTAACAATGGCTGAAGATAAGTTGAGAGAATGTTTGGACAATCAGCAGAAAATAACTTTGCAAATTCGACCGAATGAATAATCAACTTGATGGCCGGTGAAGGTACCTTGTTTAATGTCATAGATATATGTATATAGTGTTTGTATTTTAAATTTATTGCTTACAGTAGACTTGCTCTCCTAGCAGTGTCGTATTTTATATGACAAGTCTGCTTTCATTACGTCCTACCATAGAAATAATAGACATAGAATGCGTGATCCTATCTTTTCTCAGTAAAAAATTTGTCTCCACAAAATGGCGCATTGAAAAGGGCATTTTGGTTGGTCCCAGACTCCGGAGGCAGGGAATTTCGCGCGGTTGCACGGAGTGCGAATTATTTTTTCAACTGAAAAGTTTGCAAAAAAATTTATATCGGCACTTAAAATGGAAAAAAAGTTTGGTAAACTAAGGAAAAGTGTCTAAAAACCCATTCCAGTGGGTTTTTACGAAAGGCAATAGTTCTGAACAGAATATATGCAGAAATCGTCGTTTAAAAATAAATTTTCAACGTTATGTTGTTGTGCAAGCCAAAACAAAACACAAAAGATCAAGACAAACTCAATGGGTATGTTCTACAAATATTTCAACTCTTTTACAATATAAATGGAGTTCAATAATCTTTTAAACTTACACAATTATATTTCATATTTTTCTACGAAACCCAACGAACAAAGAACTATCATTTTGTAATCTTATAAGATATTACCAAAACAGTTACGTTTAGAGCATGCAAAAATGTTTTGAGTAAATTATATTTTCGCGAAACTACTTTGCTTTTAAAAGGCTGCACGATTTTCACTGTTTTCATAGTGTTTTGTAACTGCACATTTGCTTTGACAGTTTGTGCCTTAATTCAAGGAACTCAAAATCTATCCCCAAACTACAAATTAGACAACAAAACAAAACGTTTTGACGATGAAAACGTAGTTTTAGCTTTGTTTTATACTTTGTAGTTTGCACTCCTGGCCAAAATTCAAAATGGCGCATTCAAAAGGGCACGCACCTGAAAAAGTGGAGACATGATTCGTCATTAGCACGCATTCTATGTCTATTATTTCTATGCGTCCTACACACGTAAAAATCTCACATCTTGTAGCAAGTCTGCCAACAACTCGTCAACAAGTTGTCTTCGCACTGCTTTTCCCAAGTTGTCAACAAGTTTGGAACAAGCTGTTAACAATTTGTAACAACCTTGTTGATATTATCAGACTTGTTGCAAGGTTGTTCCAACACGTCCGATGCCGTCATGATATAACAATATTATTACAACCTTGTGTTGTCAACCTTGTAACATTCTTGTTATATCATGACTGTATGATCAGACTTGTTAGAACAACCTTGTAACAAGTCTGATGATATCAACATTCAACAAGCTTGTTACAAGCTGTTTAAACAACTTGTACAATATTGTAAAATCATGACTGTATCAGACCTGTTAGAACAACCTTGTAACAAGTCTGACAATGCCATCAAGCTTGTTACAAGTTGTTAAATTAACAGCTTGTTCCAAACTTGTTACAACAACTGGGAACAAGCAGTGCGAACACAACTTGTCGACAGCTTGTGAACAGATTTGTAACAACTTGTTGGCAGACCTGGAATAACTTGTGCGTTTTTACAGTACGTGTGTACAATTTACGGAGCGATAAAGAATCTCTTTAGGCAATTTAGAAATGTGCCTCGCCCAGGCAATTTACATATTTGGCAAAAACAATAATATACCTAGTTCCTCTTTCTTGTTGCCAAAAATTAGTTAGGGTTGGTTGGGGTTTGGTTTTTTTTTTTCATTTTTTTTTAAATGCTCACGCATGTGAGTGATATGTCTACGTCAATAGACCTTTCCCCTTTTAAATGAAATTTTGATTACTGTAGACAAGTTTGGACAAAAATTTCATCGCAGCTTGAAAGAGCATAGCAAAATTAGTAATATTCCGAAGTTTCGTTGCAAAATGTTGTAAAATGCGGATACTATAGGGGTCTATAGCCTTGCGAAGTTTGCCGTTTTTCAGTCATTTTGCATTACAAACGGAAATTGATAATCAGATGATCAAACTGATTATCAATTTCCCATTTGTAATACAAAATGACTGAAAACGGCAAACTTCGCAAGGCTATATTATCCGCATTTTACAACATTTCGCAACGAAACTTCGGAATATTACTAATTTTGTGATGCTCTTTCAAGCTGTGATGAAATTTTTGTCCAGGCTAGTCTAGATCCTATTATGGCAGCACAGATGATACAAACATTCATTAAATGTTATATCAACTTTTAAACAGGTTGTACTGTATATAGCTGATATACAAAACTAACGCCAACGTACTATGTTCGAAAAAATAGGGCGATGCCGTGCAATCATGAACTTGTATTATAAATTCAGAGTTATTCTGTTTTCATTACTCCCAGATTTGACTGTTAATGATTAAAGATCCCTCTGACAACGGCAAAAAAACAAGATCGTCGAATAAAGAGCAGTCTTCGATATAACAGTCGGAGTTAGTTTCCAAAACAAAACGCCAATATGACCAAAATTTGGGTTGGTCTGACAATTTTTGAGACCACGTTTTGAGAATTATATTCTGGTAAAGAGACGTATTGTCTCATGACCATCTTTTTGACAACTTTATGAAACGACTGAGTAAAACGAATATACAATGTGCCATATTGATATTTTACAATTCACATATACAGATGTCAATCAAGAGCATAATGTTATAGTGAAACTATCACTGTAACAATATATAACTATATCACTATTAATAGTGAAATATATATAGTATAATATAGATTGTAATAATCTCTGAACATTTATATCTTTAAAATTTTTGAGTAACTTAAATGTTTTTCTTTATAAAAAAGTTTGTTTTTAATATGTCCGGTTTAAAATTGAGATGTTATAATTTGAAATGTGCGATCTATACTGTATATGAAGTAAATGTCTGATTGGAACACATATATAGGATGTTTTGTTTTATAAAAGACTTTTAATTGGCGCACTAATTACATGTTATATGCCAGTGCTCTTGTGCAGGCAGCCATCCGTGAATCCTGACGAACTGCTCAGACACACGCGAACAAGTCGCCAGCATGTCGCGTAATAAATTACTATCGATCATCAACTATGAGTATTGATACTTACGCAGTATAAGGAATACAGCAAGTATATCAAAGTCATTAAGCTCTACTCAATATATGAAGTGATAAGCATGTGTTGATATTGATATTTATACAAGCTATAGCTTATTCAGTAATACCGATTTCAACCGTAATTTATAAGTGGCATTGCCCGCTAATTTCCCTACATGCGTAAAAATCTCACATCTTGTAGCAAGTCTGCCAACAAGCCGTCAACAAGTTGTGTTTTCATTGCTTGTCCCAAGTTGTCAACAAGTATGGAACAAGCTGTTAACCACTTGTGACAATCTTGTTGATATTATCAGACTTGTTGCAAGGTTGTTCCAACAAGTCCGATACAGTCATGATATAACAATGTTGTTACAACCTTGTGTCGCCAAACTTGTAACGTTCTTGTTATATCATGACTGTATCAGACTTGTTAGAACAACCTTGTAACAAGTCTGATAATGCCATCAAGCTTGTTACAAGTTGTTAATAAACTTGTTACACGCTTGTTACAACAACTGGGAACAAGCAGTGCGAACACAACTTGACTACAACAGCTTGTGAACAGACTTGTATAACAAATTTTTTTCAGACTTGTAACAGCTTGTACGTTTTTACATGTGTAGACTTTGTTTTCCTATTCTGTCTAATGCCAGATGATTTTGCTTGTCAAGGGGAAAGTGCTGCTACTCAATGGGTTAATATATACGTAAACACGCAGAAGTTGTTACAGGTCTGCAAACAAGTTCTTACAAGTCTATTCACAAGCTGTCGACAAGTTGTGTTCGCAGCTGTTAACAACTTGTAGCAAGCTTGATGGCATTATCAGACTTGTTACAAGGTTGTTCTAGCAAGTCTGATACAGTCATGATATATCAAGAATGCTACAAGGTTGACGACACAAGGTTGTAACATTGCTGTATCATGACTGTATCGGACTTGTTGGAACAACCTTGCAACAAGTCTGATAATATCAACAAGCTTGTTACAAGTTGTTAACAGCTTGTTCCAAACTTGTTGACAACTTGGGACAAGCAGTGCGAACACAACTTGTCGACAACTTGTTGGCAGACTTGCTACAAGATATGAGACCAAAACAAATATAGTATGATAATGCATATTTTTTTTGAACAAAGAATGCTGAAAAGTCATTTAACATGCTCCAAAGGTATTCAAATAAAATACTGATATTAAAAGAAGTCATCTGATGATCAGGATGCGTGACATTATATTAACATCCAAGAAAACACGGTTAAAAATCCTATTTAGTCAATATCAGTCATTAAGTTGGTATATAAGTGATTACTCTGAGTTTAAGGACAGGAACAGGATATGTATATATATATATAAAAATAATTACTAATACTTTATTAAAGATTTTTTAGCACTTTCCAGATAAAAATAGAGCTTTCTAAGTGCTAGACTAAGTTTAAAACTATGTAAATACTATATACGGTAGTTATAAAGTAAAATTAGTGAATGACCCTTACTGGACCTCTAGGAAGAACAGTTTAGGACTGATAGAACTATCCAGTATAAATAAAGTTAGTTTAGTTTAGATTTCCTCCTGTAGTAACACTGGATCAATAAGAGATGACCCTTACTGGATCTCTAGGAAGAACAGTTTAGAACTGATATAGCTATCCAGTATAAACAAAGTTAATTTAGTTTAGATTTCTTCTTGTAGTAACACTGGATCAATAAGAGATGATCCTTACTGGACCTCTATATAGGAACAACAGTTTATAACTGATAGAGTTATCCAATATAAAACCATATCATATCCATATAAATAAAGTGAGTTTAGTTTCCTTCTGTAGCAATAAATGAATAAGGAAATGTGACTCGACGGTCTTTCAACTCAACAATTTGCAAGCTGTCAGATTCTATTATTGAACAGTTTTAGAGATTACTTAATTTATACTAATGTATTATTATTTCCTTACTATATTGTGTATTTTATATCTAAACTTATAGTGTGCCAAGAACTATAAGTGTTTTTCAGAGATAAGGTCACGTCGCATGTAATATATATGTGGATACATATAGCTGTCCGGATGCATTAAAACACATAAACAATTTCAATCATTTTGAATTATTCAGTTCAGTTGGCAAGGAGACAAATCATGTGAACACCGCATGATTTGCGGGAAAGGCAGGAATGAGGTGACGGAAGTCACGCGAGCGCACGCTTGGCATCATGGGTAGTCCAATACAACGCCCAATATCGTGCATGCCAACTAATTAAACTACGTCTTTATTCTATGATTTGCCACCAAAATCAATAAACTTCTCTATACGTATAATGTAAAGAATTAACATTATTTCCCCACTCTGATAACGCAGATTGACCACAAATCTACTGCATGCACGATATATAGTGCTTATTTGAAACCCAGCTGTATATATTGGCTCTGAAAGACTTGCCTTTAGAAATTGAAGTGTTGCCATTTACATTTCAAAAGGCGTGTGAATCAATTATATACAAAAAAAAATAACAAAGACAGTTTGCCAAGTCAGGGACGATATTTGTTCAAAGACTGTCTTGTATTTGGGAATTAATATTAGATTCGCTTTTGTGAATGTTTCCGGGTTAAGTTCTAGATACTTAATAAAGCATGTGTGAAAATCGAAAGCCAATTCTTTACATGATTCGCTAAATTCTTATACGTTGGCTTCCTTAATTTGAATATATATGATAGAGAATTCACCGCTGAAAGTTCTTTTGGTGACTGAAAATTTAATGGCGCGCAGGCACGTAAGACCAACACCAGTTACCAGAGCGAGAAAATAATGTTAATTATTCTTTTCATTGTATGTATAGTATAGTGTTGAATTTGGAGGCAAATAAACAAAATTGAAAAAAGTTGCTTGCCCCAATATAAATGTATCTGATATTGACAACTCTTGATACAATTAATGAAATTATATTGTATTACTGCAAAGCAAAGTAATTGTTTTTGAATTTTGAAAACATAAGACGATTGTGGCATGCTTCATAGCCAATATTTGTCCATAAATATTGCCTAGTTATTCATCAATATTGCGTGGTTATATAAAGCATCATAACGATTTCCCTGACGTAAAACTAAATGACATTCACAATCTTTTTTTAAAACGTGATTTATGGATTGCCTCTATTTTATGATCGATAGTTAGTACTTTAACGGCCTGACAATTAATCCTTTCCAAAATTTCGCTATAAATTGGTAGTATACGTCACTTAATTGGTATTATACATAGTGCAATTCATTCTGTGTGGGATTCTGACTGTATTTTCGCGTCATTTTTCTCCGGGGAGAACACTTTAGAACTGATAGAACTATCCATTATAAATAAAGTTAGTTTAGTTTAGGTTTCCTCCTGTAGTAACACTGGATCAATAAGAGATGATCCTTACTGGACCTCTAAGAAGAACAGTTTAGAACTGATAGAACTATCCATTATAAATAAAGTTAGTTTAGTTTAGGTTTCCTCCTGTAGTAACACTGGATCAATAAATGATGATCCTTACTGGACCTCTAGGAAGAACAGTTTAGAACTGATAGAGCTATGAACTGATAGAGCTATCCAGAATAAATAAAGTTAATTTAGTTTAGGTTTCCTCCTGTAGTAACACTGGATCAATAAGAGATGATCCTTACTGGACCTCTAGGAAGAACAGTTTAGAACTGATAGAGCTATCCAGAATAAATAAAGTTAGTTTAGTTTAGTTTAGTTTATAGGCTTCCTCCTGTAGTAACACTGGATCAATAAAAGATGATCCTTACTGGACCTCCATAGGAGTAGCAATTTAGGACTGATGGAGCTATTCAGAATAAATAAAGTTAGTTTAGTTTAGGTTTCCTCCTGTAGTAACACTGGATCAATAAGGGATGACTCTTACTGTACCTCTAGGGAGAACGGTTTGGAACTGATAGAGCTATCCAGAATAAATAAAGTTAGTTTAGGTTTTCTCCTGTAGTAACACTGGGTCAATAAGAGATGATTCTTATACTGGACCTCTAGGGAGAACAGTTTAGGACTGATAGAGCTATCCAGTATATAAAATAAAGTTAGTCTAGTTAACATTTTTTGGTCAGACAGGTAATGTCGGTAAACGAAAGCCACCTCACACCTTGGATAGGAAGTGAATTGCAAATTTCTGGACATGATTCAGCTATTGTCTGGTATAGAACAACAATAAAATAAGCAAGGCCTTTTCCGTTTGTCATGCCAAGTCACTCGGATGTCACATATATTATAGGCGTAACTATTCACAGTCAATATTGATTTTAACAACTCTCCCAACGATCGAAACTGCAAATATTGAGGAAATTCCGTTATGAAACAATGAAACTGCTCTTCCTAAAATTCCAGAAAGGACCACCCATTATTAATCCGGTGTTACTACAAGAGGAAACCTAAACTAAACTAACTTTATTTATACTGGATAGCTCTATTAGTTCTAAACTGTTCTTCCTAGAGGTGCAGTAAGGATCATCTCTTATTGATCCAGTGTTACTACAGCCAGGAGGAAACCTAAACTAAACTAACTTTATTTATACTGGATAGCTTTATTAGTTCTAAACTGTTCTTTCTAGAGGTCCAGTAAGGATCATCTCTTATTGATCCAGTGTTACTACAGGAGAAAACCTAAACTAAACTAACTTTATTTATACTGGATAGCTCTATCAGTTCTAAACTGTTCTTCCTAGAGGTCCAGTAAGGATCATCTCTTATTGATCCAGTGTTACTACAGGAGGAAACCTAAACTAAACTAACTTTATTTATACTGGATAGCTCTATCAGTTCTAAACTGTTCTCCCCGGAGAAGAATGATGCAATAATACAATAAAAATCCCACGCAAAAGTGAAAAAGCGACCAGTGACGTACTACCAATTTATATTCCAACTTTGGAAGTGATTAATTTTCAAGTACTTAAATATAAAATAGAGGCAATCCCTAAATCACGTTTTTAAAAAAGGTTGTGTCATTTTGTTTTACGTCAGGGAAATCGTTATAATATACCTTATGCTTTATAACCACGCAATATTGATGAATAAAATATAGGCAATATTTATTGGTGAATATTGGCTATGAAGCATGCTATAATCTTCTTACATTTTCAAAATTCTAAAACAATTACTTTACAAAACAATAGATACTCCGAAAATTGAAAGCATTTTGAAAAATTTATTTCGACGTTTCGACTAAACTATAGTCGTCATCAGGAAATGAATGATGGATGATATTACATATACAAGTATATGTAGTGAAGTATATAACAAGATACGATTAGTTAAATATTAATAGATTTTTAGAGGCTTTAGTTCCATGGTTTAGGGACTAAAGCCTCTAAAGATCTATTAATATTTAACTAATCGTATCTTGTTACTTCACTATATATACTTGTACATATGTAATATCATCATCATTCATTTCCTAATGATGACTATAGTTTAGTCGAAACGTCGAAATAAATTTTTCAAAATGCTTTCAATTTTCGGAGTATCTATTGTTTTGTATTTTATCAAAATACTCAGTGGTTTCCGTAATTAGTTTACTTTGACAGTAATACACTATAATTTATTTAATTGTATCAAGAATTGTACGGAGCACTACACTGAATGAAAATAATTAACATTATTTTCTCATGCTTAGAAAATGAAACCTGAACCGCCTATATAGAATTCAAATTCAGTAAAAAGGACAACTTAAAATTCATGTGAATAGTTTATTATATAGCTTTTTAATTAAGCCTGTAAAGAATTTATTTTCACACGTATCTTATTAAGCATGTAAAACATAACCCGCGGAAACATTCATGAAAGCAAATCTATATAAGATTATTGAGCGTCACAGGACAAATTAACATTGACGGGGTTTGTCTCGGAAATGTTTTGTGGGCGATGCGCCATGTTATACGCCTCAATATATAGCTTCACGTGTACGGATAAGTCTCGGATTTCAATCCAAACACGATTGCATAAAATATACGTGAAAAAAATTCTGAAAATAAAGATTAGAGATTATACAATATATCCACTTATATACAAAACGTCATACAAGATGATTACTTTGTGTTTGATCAATATTTCGCACCTGTTTTAAGAACGAGTTTAATATCATGATTATTTTTTTACGTAAATACGTCTAGGAAGCACTTTTTTGTTTTCATTTGAGATTTCATAAGTGCTCGTGGGTATTAAGTAGTTTATATATCATTGAATGAAACAGTGTCAAAAGAAATAATTCATAATGAATCAAAGAGTATAAATTATAATTGATATATTTAAGTATGGTCGGATATTTCTGTATTGTATCAAGGAAATTAAACTTTCGTATATCGAGGTATAGATGACACAAAATCCTCATAAATAATACAGTAACTATACTGGTCTGTTTGCCATCAATCCCTTCTAAAACAAATATATGGCAGCCATTGTTTGGGTTTGCCCTATTATTAATCTTATAGGAATTGATTCAAATATCATACATTAGAGTTCTGCATCAGACAGTTTCGGTTTTAGCCTCACGTTATGCATTTCTTTTAAAAAGATAATAGCCTTTCGAAATTGAAAAGGGGGGGGGGGGGTGTTAGAAAATCAGCTAAAAGCACTATATAGTCCAATCTTGGACTAAGTGTTAAAAAGAGCAGAACTGATTTAAAATTTTAAAGAGCACTAGTTAAACATAATCCTGATGCACAAAGCGGTTGTTTTAATGATTTAAAATAGACTTCTAAGACATATCTCAAAACCATTCTAGCCGAGAATAATCAGTATAACATAACTTGAATAATTAGTATATCCATAACTTAAATTTATATTTGTATGTTGTATTTAATTGTAACGTTTAAATTCTAAAACAATATAGCTACCCTCCTTAATAGTCTCCTATGGCCTGCAAATATAGTAATCATGTTTTTTTTTCTGTGTTGGTGTAATGTACTCACTGTGAATATGATGCTTGTGATGTTACTCTGAGTGTATATCCACACCGGGCAAGCTTGAAAAATATGCCTGGCCACGTTGGGTGATCGAACCTATATCGATTCCAAAGGTCGTAGGTTCGATTCCCACCGTGGCCAGGCATATTTTTCAACCTTGCCCGGTGTGGATATACACTCAGAGTAACATCACAATCATCAAATATAGTAATATCTTTGGGAAAGGTACATCAGCTATTATTGTACATGTTTATTCCCAAAACCGGTTTGACATGTATTTACAAATAGCCAATCACATGCGAGGTTCAGCTTGTAAACCTAATCAAGTATGGAACTGAGATTCGCAATCGATTTGACCCGAGAGGCTCTTTTGTCTTCGCGTTTAATTCTTGCTCCTCGTTTCAAAGCCTTTGCAAGCATGCTATAGTAAAACTACTTGCCGTGTGAAATCAATTTGTAGTACACGGGTTGTTGTTTTCGATATAGTTGTTGCAGTATATAATTGCGGAAATGATACTTAGGAAATACTTGAATATAGAAATGTAGCGCATGTGCTGTATATATCATACTGATCTATTGCTATTATTAGTGGACAAGCACCCTCGGTATAAACGACATTAATGGAATAGTCGACATTCAATAATTTCTGCTCAAAATTTGTTCAGCAAAACTTTCTCCCAAAATCAAGGGGCGTGAAATGTACGGAATTTTTGGACTTTCGAAAGTCCGGACATGATCGGTCTTTTCGGGACTTTTGTAGGAAGTAAAACAATATTTTCTTCTTATTTGGTGAAGTTATATGCAGTAAAATGCAACAATATATTTTCCCGAATAGATGATAAAAAATTATTGGTTAGAAATATTTCTATAAAGCAGTTCGTCAGAATCCAGATTAACTGAGGATAAAATTTAATTAAATACATATAGACAGATATATTAATGCTAGGTCATATATAAATTCTTTCAGATTTGCATTCAATTCAGACGTAAATTTTAGATTTCAAGAGTATATATTTCAGGAATGTCTAGAATTCTCAAGCATATATGTTCATTGATTTTCGGCGGGAATGAAATATAGCGTTTTTATATTGTATATATGAAACCAGTTTGTCTCATATATACACAGGTAAAAATGCACAAGTTATGAAAGATCTACAAACAAGTTGTGACAAGGTTGTTGTGAAGCCGATATCACGATGTGTTCGCACTGCTTGTTCCCAGTTGTTGTGACAAGTCTGGAACACGTTTAATTGTTATCATCTTGTTACAAGGTTGATGACGGCAACAGACTTGCTACAAGTTGTTCCAACAAGACTAATACAGGCTGTTCGTAACAAGTTGCTACGAGCTTGTTGTCATCAACTTGTTACGTGCAGACGATATCAGACTTGTTGAAACAACTTGTTGTGAGTCTGTTTGGCCTCGTCGACCTTGTTACAAGATGATAACAGCTTGTTCCAGACTTGTCGACAACCAGGAACAAGCTGTGAAATTTTACACGTGTATGAAATCAGTTTGTCTCACAGATTGTTGTTTTTGAATATTGTCGTTTCAATTATAAGTGAGGAAAGATACTTAGGAAATCCTGTGTAAAAAATGCACTTCAATAATCATGCATCACAACACTGAACTAATATAAACATATTGATCCCATGTTTTTAAAATGACATGATCCCAGCCACTGATCTAAAATTAGGGCTGGACAGTTGTTAAAATGCACAAGTTGTTACAGGTCTGCGAACAAGTTGTTACAAATCTGTTCACAAGCTGTCGACAAGTTGTGTTCGCACTGCTTGTTCCCAGTTGTTGTAACAAGTTTGGAACAAGCTGTTAACGGCTTGCAACAACAAGCTTGATGGCATTATCAGACTTGTTACAAGGTTGTTGTAAGAAGTCTGATACAGTCATGATATAACAAGAATGTTACAAGGTTGACGACACAAGGTTGTAACAATATTGTTATATCATGACTGTATCGAACTTGTTGGAACAACCTTGCAACAAGTCTGATAATATCAACAAGGTTGTTACAAGCTGTTAACAACTTGTAACAAGCTTGATGACATTATCAGACTTGTTACAAGGTTGTTCTAACAAGTCTGATACAGTCATGATATAACAAGAATGTTACAAGGTTGACGACACAAGGTTGTAACAATATTGTTATATCATGACTGTATCGGACTTGTTGGAACAACCTTGCTACAAGTCTGATAATATCAACAAGCTTGTTACAAGCTGTTAAACAACTTGTATCCAATATTGTTATATCATGACTGTATCGGACTTGTTGGAACAACCTTGCTACAAGTCTGGTAATATCAACAAGCTTGTTACAAGCTGTTTAAACAACTTGTACAATATTGTTATATCATGACTGTATCGGACTTGTTGGAACAATCTTGCTGCAAGTCTGATAGTATCAACAAGCTTGTTACAACTGTTATCAAAACATTGTTCTGAATTGGGAGGCTTGATATAGAGGGGGCTTGATAAATTTCTTCCTTTATTTGAGAGGTAGGCGTATTTGTGAAGAGGGCTCATAAGAGAAGGCTTATTTGGAAGGGTGCGTATTGGAGAGGGGGGCTTGTTTGAGAGAGGGCTTATTTAGAAGGACGGCTTATTAGATAGATCTTGTTAGAGAGTGGGCTATTAGACATTGGGCTTATTAGAGAGGGGCCTTATTAAAGAGGGGCTTATTGGAGAGGGGGCTTATTAGAGAGGGTTTATTAGAGGGGGGCTATTAAAGGAGGGTTTATGAGAGAGGGGAACTTATCAGGCTTATTAGAGAGGGGGCGTTTCCAGCGGGGGCTTTTTTTGAGAGATTGTTTCAGTGAGGCTTTATAGAGAATTGACTGCAATAAAGATCTTTGCATTAGCATTAAAATTTTATATCTTCGAAAATTACATTTCATGAATGTATATATTTCTATTTCAAATGCTATGTTCATATTTGAAATCAAGATACTTCGTTCATAAAACTAAAGGCTTTTTTGCCATCAAAAATTGCTTACATTTAGAAAGACTAAACTAGATTTTTTCGTTTCGTGACGATATGAACGATCGTTAAGTGATATTATTTCAAACTTTGTTGCACACAAAAGTGCTTGTTTTTCGCTTTCTAACCTTGGGCTTTGTGTCAAGTGTCTTCGGAAATATTTAGTATTTTTGCCCTTGAAATTTTCAGGAAATATAAATGATTCTTTCCGACTTTTGTCTGGTTGCATGCTGGGAATATTCTCGAACGCAGTGCTGAGGTTTGTGTCTGAACTACCTGAGAAGATATTTCAAACGTGGTGGTCCAGTGTAGCTAGTATTCCACAATAAGCTATCGTGGTTTGTATCTGAACTAACACTGGACCACCACGTTTGAGATATCTTTTTCAGTTGGTAGTATTCTACAATAAGCTGTCGTGGTTTGTGTCTGAACTACCTGAAAAGGATATCTCAAACGTGGTGGTCCAGTGTAGGTAGTATTCTTCAATAAGCTGCCGTGGTTTGTGTCTGAACTACCTGAAAAATATATCTCAAACGCGGTGGTCCAGTGTAGGTAGTATTCTACAATAAGCTGTCGTGGTTTGTGTCTGAACTACCTGAAAAAGATATCCATGGCAACGCGTGCTGGCGCGTGACTTCCGCCATTTTCCCGCCTTTTCCGCATCACACGAGAATGCAACGATATATTCTTGTCATGTTTCTTTGTTTTCCAAGTGACGTTCTTGAAGCTCTTAGACACTTGAGGTTTTTTCCTAGTTTCCTTTAGTAGGAATGATAAACGATTGTTGATAATGCTCAGAGAATGGACTGTGCCAGTATTAAATTTGATTCAATGGCTTCAGCCCCACCCCCTCCCCCATGGCCCGTGAACTCGGAAACGAAATTTCAACAAGGGGGGGGGGGGGGTGCTAAGCCACCTCAATTCACCTGTGAAGTTATGTGTTTATGTATAGACGCATTGCTAGGCAAAGCCCCGAGCAAGATTTCGTTGATAAATTTACCTTCTCGTGTGTACGGTCAACAGGTTTTTCAATTGATTTCTTTTTGTGTTGGTGTAATGTACTCAGGTGAATAAGATGTTTGTGTGATGTTACTCTGAGTGTGCATCCACACCGGGCAGGCTTGAAAAATATGCCTGGCCACGGTGGGATAGTTCGAACCTACGACCTTTGGAATGCTAGCCCAATGCTCTGCCAACTGAGCTACGCGGTCAGGTCGGTTCGAGCATGTGATATACATGATTACTATATAGATTGCATTGATATCGAAGGAACTAGACTCAGTTCTGAAACATCACCTACTCTGACCGCGTAGCTCAGTTGGCAGAGCATTGGGCTAGTATTCCAAAGGTCGTAGGTTCGATTCCCACCGTGGCCAGACATATTTTTCAAGTTTTTCAATTCTCAGTGACAAGTTTTGTTGTTCGTGTGTACGTGCGGAATGTTGTTAAGCATTTATCTCACGTCAAGGCCAGCTTTTGTTTGCCAAAACCATAGAAGTATTTCTTGTACAAGTTTTCCTTGGCGGCCGTAGACACGAAAAAATTTTCCCTGTCCAAAAAGCTGGCAAGACTAGCTTTGGAAAAAGACTCATTGGCAAGAAAAAATTGACATTTTTTGCCGTATACACATAAATAAAACTTGTCAAGGAAAAATTGACAAGGAGCCTGTACGGAACTTAAATGAGAAATAATAAACTCGTGTAGTGATAAAAAGCTTGAATCATATAAACCATACATACTAAACTATTCTTTTGAGAAAAGGGCTTTCATTGTAAACAAATAAACTCTTTTCATATCAAATAAATAAACTTGGAGTTTTCCACTATAAACAAATTAATTAAATAACTTTCATTTAATCAGACAAAAATGCTTCTCCCTGTTCTGCTTGCATATAAAAAATCAATATGGACAATATCTTAAAAATTAATATAGACAATATCTTAAAAAATAATATAGACAATATCTTTTAGCAAACTCATGGTATAACGTGACTTAATATGGATTTAAACACCATTAGTACATTCCATAAATTTCAAAGCCAAAATGGCTTTCTTTTATTTTAGATCCAATTTGTATTCATGACGCATTTCTTGCCATTAAACATTGTCGTATGCGCGGGTGTCATGTAATAATTATCCTAAAAATGGTAGCCATTTAACGCATCTTGTATATTCTTGAATAAGCAAGACGATAGCCCACTCACAGCTCCTTGAAGCAAGCTGGTAGTAGAGGGAGGCATCCGGTTTGCAATTGTCCCACAAAATTCATGACACGTTTCACGATTATATCTTCAGGTCTTATGCTGCATTATACTAGATATACCTTTATCAGTTCTAAACTAGTAATGTTCTTTTCTATTGATCCAGTGTTACTACACGAGGAGGAAACCTAAATTAAACTAACTTTATTTATCCTGGATAGCTCTATCAGTTCTAAACTGTTCTCCCTAGAGATCCAGTAAGGATCATCTCTTATTGATCCAGTGTTACTACAGGAGGAAACCTAAACTAAACTAACTTTATTTATCCTGGATAGCTCTATCAGTTCTAAACTGTTCTTCCTAGAGGTCCAGTAACGATCATCTCTTATTGATCCAGTGTTACTACATGAGGAAACCTAAACTAAACTAACTTTATTTATACTGGATAGCTCTATCAGTTCTAAACTGTTCTTCCTATAGAGGTCCAGTAAGGGCTATCTCTTATTGATCTAGTTTTACTACAGGAGGAAACCTAAACTAAACTAATTTAATCTATACTGGATAGCTCTATCAGTTCTAAACTGTTCTCCTTAGAGATCCAGTAAGAATCTTTGCGTCATCTCTTATTGATCCAGTGAATTACTGCATGATAGAGCTAGATATCCAATCCATGCAGTATAAGTCCAGTAAAAGTTAGTTTAGATTTCCTCCTGTAGTAACACTGGATCAATAAGAGATGATCCTTACTGGACCTCTAGGGAGAACAGTTTAGAACTGCTAGAACTATCCAGTATAAAATAATGACGTCAGTTTCGTTTCTCTGTACGCAATATAGGAACAGAATCCAGCCACCGTTTATTCAAATCTGGCACTATATCCAGACGTCTTATAGCTATTAAACAATGTCACGGAAACTCATAGAGCTCTCTTTAGAAATCGGCGACATTTAATTTCATCTATTATTGATCGTTTAACGAACTAACTGCCCGTAAATGGCATCACACTGTGCATTATCTACGTAGATACTTGTTTTCTATTTGAAGCTCTGGAAATTGAAGAGAAACTCAAAGGGCTCCTTTCAGAGACAGAGGTTCCCACCACGACTCCATAAAAGTCAATAAAAATGGCAACATTTTTAAACTACCAGTTTCCTTATCGCCTTTATTTTGGTTAAATGGTTTGCTTAATTCTGAGGTTTCTTTAATCTTTTTATTCCTTCGACATTTTTAAGGCTCTCCACGGCTTCCTCATCGGCCTTTAAGGCTTTATTGCGGTTTAAATGTTTTGGTTAATTGTGAGTTTATTCACGCCTTGAACATTTTAAACTGTCCGTTTCCTCGTCGCTTTTATTTTCGTTAACTTTAAGAGTGTCTTTATGCTTTATGTCAAGTGTGAAAGCTAAGAACAAATTTTAATCTGATATATATATATATATATATATAGTCAGATATTTTTAAATACTTGTCTACCTGCTTTATTGTGGATTTGTCGATTCTTATATAAGCCTTATTTAGTTATTAATCTTACTTAAATTTAATAGATAAATCATTTACAGGCAACGCTGAATGAAAAAAGCATTAAAAAGACAAATATATTACTCAATACACCGGATACATAGCTATATATATTCAATAAAAATACTAAACAGACTAGTTTAAAAACACTATATATTGTCAAAATATAATGTATAAACATTATGACATTAACAACAAAAAGAGCATTAAAGGCACTTCCTTCATTGAAATATGCTTACAACAGCATCAAATAGATATTTGATAATTTCCTTTTTGTGAACTGGTTTAAAAAATATTATAGATAAAACAGGAATTGACTAACAAAAAGAATTTTGAATAGCTGTAAAGTTATGTTAAGTACATGAACAATATATGTTTTCTACTTTAAAATGACAGGAATAGCAAGATATTTGTCGCTTTCCTCTTTTTGAGTTTTTTCATGTCTAAAGTTAGACATGTTTTAATAATACATTTTTCCTTGAATTAAAATAGTTTATATATAAAAAGGATTTTGTTACAGAAATCAGCTTGTTGAGAGCTTATCACAAGTACTTATACAAATGTGATAAAATCATCACCTATATGTAGTTGATATTGTTGAAATGTCTCGCAGCTCGCCCTGTGGCTATACTATAAGGAAATCCCATGAGCCCTTTCTCGCGGGTTTTTTGTTCTTGAATAATTATGACGTCATCAGTGATATCACAAAATATTGTTGTACTACTAGTAACAAATATATTTGCACTGACGTGCGTTCATTTTTATAAAACTATAGTCCATATACAACTTGACCACTGACAGCTGTTCAATTTATTTGAGAAATCAATATACCATTTGTGTTCAAGGTTGAACGCTAAACGGGTGTCAGGTTTGTTTTGTAATTCGTGTTTGTTTTGTTTACAGAAAATTGTCACGTTTGTGGGAAATGTTTTGTCGAAGTGCATGCCAGATTTTAAGCAATTTTCCATATTTAATGTTACACTCGTAAAATTAAAGTCATTTTGGAAGGTAGAATATATATATAATATATAATATATAATTGCTACAAAAATTGAAAAATATAAATTTTTAAACATTGTCATTGTAGCTTTACCGGTCGAAGTTGGGTGCAAATTTAGTGTCAGAAAATGTTCCGCTTTTTGAAAAGCAAACAAACTAGTTAAAATCGTCAAGCTTGAACGCTATAATTTATCTTTTTCACAAACTTGGCTTTTGTCTTTTTAGAACAATAAGATTGCTAATTCGTTCTATAGAAAGCCGGCCCCTTTGGCTTTATATGGCAAACACTATTGTATATGTCCTAAATTTTTTAGGAACATTTGAATACATACACTATATATCATTAGGAACCCCACACAGGGATAGCAGCCAAAATCTCAACCTCGCCCTGGCTTGCGAGGTTGCCAAAATCGGTACCGGCTCAAAAATAGGTTCGTGTGATTATAGGGCTTGCAATTTTGGAACACTTGAGTGTTTAGTTTATCAAATTCGACCAGACAATCAGAAGTTATTTGGCAATATATGATAGAATCGAAATGAATCCCACAGCCATATATACGTTAATAGGTTAAATAGTACTTTTGTAAGTCTTGCGAAAATCACTGCAAGATTCATTAGCGATATTTGGGAAGTGAATCGATTTGAGCACAATTACCCACTTCGAGAAGTTTATCGAAATCACTTTATCTACGCTAAGAACACGCCCTAAGCTTTTTAAATATACGTCTAAACAACGATATCTGTATTTTGCTGTCGTGTTTTGGACACAAATAAGATCCAGGGTGTCGCATAAACGCTTCCCTTGAATAATTTACAAAACAGTAAACCTTTTGAACTGCATTGAAAAACCACATCGGGGAAGCCAGCATGGTGCTGCGAATGCATTGACCGTATTTCCTCGCATGATACAAGGTTTTTAACGGATTTCTCCTATCGGGCGCACCTAGGACATGCCACCCTTCGCCTTTTCCTTAACCAAACCCTGGCAAAACCTCGAATGGAACTACATTGAGCTAGACGTCGTTGGTGTGTCCACTTAAAATGAAGATTATATCGCTACAATCAGACTGATTTGCATACCGTAGCACACATGATAAACCGCAAAATACAATCCGGACAAATTCACCGTGGACCAAATGGGATTATACTTAATACGGTGTGATATCTCTCAGTTAAAACTAATCTGAAGTTCGGGCCCTAATTTGAATAGGCCCTATTTCAAATAAGGGCCTGAACTTCAGGTTAAGTTAAAACCGACTCGAATACATTTCACATATAATGTATAAATCCGTATAATAAAGTCTTTCGATGTATTTCATAATCGGTGAAGATTCGTCTGCCCTCATCACGGTTCGAAGTATATTTTAAATCTTGATTTGGTCGCGCTGGCTAATAGAACTAAAGCAATTTAAGACCACTTTTCTGATCTTTGTTTAGCAACAAGTCTTTGAAAATCTAATGATCAGCGTGAGGCAATATATTTAGGATTGACCCCCTTAACCTCTTGCTTCCGCCCTAGACAGTTGGCGCTGAATAAATTACGAAATCTAAGCTTAACTCGAGGCTTCATTCGTAAACAAACTCAGATGGGAATTGGGAACGCGAAAGACACACCATTTAGCCTTCAGAATTAATGAGAGCCCCATTAGAACAATTCTACTTAATTTACAATCCTACTTAATTTCTGATTCTAATTTGCTACTATCGTTCGAATTCGAAGCTATTTTATTGGCTAATCCCACCCATGGTTATGCCCTTGGGGACTTATAGAAAGACACCTAAATTTAAATCTTGAGTAATAATCCCAGTAGGACTCACAAAACAACTTCAGAAGCCTTCTTTCGGGAGTTGGCGGTTTAAAAATGTAAAAATTTCGCCCAGGAATCTATATGATGCTTCGAAAATTCCTTCTGAATACTTCAACTCATTTCAAGGACGATTCGTCCGGCTCCGCCCACAACGACATGACGTATTCAACACACCTAAGGGCCGTCCCCTTAAATTACGATCAAAAATCAAGCTTTTTAGGACGTTAAGGCTTTGTTTGGGCAAAATTCACCTTCCTCGTAGTTTAACATCTATTTGGTTGATCGCTTTGATCATATGAATGAGTTAGCGTTTACTCGAATTCATGCGGAAAAGTGGTTTATCAAAGCCGCCGGATATGACAGACAGAAATTATCAAAGTTATATTTGGCAAAACGATTGCTCCCCGTCGTCAAGGAAACCTGACGAGTGGCAACAGCCACGGGTATGGTCGAGATTATTTCTGGCTCTCCCATTGGCTCGCGGCTTGATTAGTTTCGAAGTGCGGAAATGAGTTGTCAATCAGAATTTGCGATGAAGAGGAATCGCTGTGAGCTAGGATTAACCATACGCATTCTGACAGTGAAGCATACAAGACGCGCTATTTCAAGAAGAGATATTTCAAGAAACACGAGTTACTTCTCGAGGATACAAATGCCTTCACTGAGTTCTCAATTTAACAACATGTCCACTACATCGGACTGGCTTTACACGCAAATTCTTAACAACTCATCGACGGTGCTCTTACTGGATTGTCGCCCGTACAACGAATACTCACAATCTCACGTTCCTACCGCCATTAACCTGGCTGTACCCTCGCTGATGCTCCGAAGACTGAAGAAAGGCTCTTCGGTGAATTTCGCGAACATGATTAACACCGAGGATGGAAAACGACGCTTCGCAAAACGCGATCTCATGGATAAAATTGTAATCTATGATGGCTCGACAGACAACCTCACAAACACGGCTTTGGAACTTATTATGCAACGGCTCGCAGCGGAAGGCCTAGACAATATATTTTACTTAAAAGGTAACCAAAAGCTTTTATATATCGCTTTATACTATACGAATATTCTGATAAAAATTTAATCTACCCTAACATATTTAGCCGAATATTTTACGACTATTCTGTTACAACCAAATACATTACAAATTCCAATGTACCATTTAGTTTTAGCCATAAAAGTTTAATCTCGTGAGAATCCCTTTTAGCTTTTTCGCAATTTTTAAGCACTGTATAATAAATCGATTTTCATAAATGTGGTTTTTCTAAATTCGATTTTCTAAACAAGTGGCTGTATTAAATTTAGAACTGTAAATTTAGCCCTCGAGGCGTAGGTAGTGAGAGGCAATATTTACCATGACAATATTTGTATAAGGTCGCTTCAAACCGTAGAGATACCAGATGCATGTTTAATGTACAGATGTAAGTTAATTAACTTGGTTTTATACCAAAGGGAGTTGCAAACTTTTTATACTTTTGTAGTCGACACTGCTTGACGCTTGTATGTTGTATATTTTAGGCGGTTTCACGACGTTCAAAAGCGACTATCCTAATCTCTGCGAATCCGAAGAAGCAGACCAGAGCGGACCGTCTTACATTCGCCTATCGGATCTACGTATTTCGAACGACGACACAAGTCCTCTGAAAACCTGTGCCCCGAGTAGTCCGTTCAACGAGTCGAAAGTCAGGAAAGGCGCCGTTGAAATTTTACCCAACTTATACCTCGGCAACGCAAGAGATGCCTCCGATTTGAGAGAACTTTTAGACAGAAACATTACTTATATTTTAAACGTGACCAATGATATCCCAAACAAGTTCGAAAATGACCCGCGGTTTACCTACATGAATCTCAGAGTGCAAGACAACTGGCAGACGAACTTGGCCGATCACTTTCAAGAGGCTTTCAAATTTATTGGTGAGTATTCGTCGCTGTTTAAATCGCTTTAAATATAGAATCGTAATTTGAATCGTAATTAGAACGAATTAGAATTGTTCTTTAGAATAACAAAACCGTTCGAATTCGAATTAGAACATGTTTAAATGTTCTTCGGAACTCATAAAACATTCGAATTCGAATTAGAACATCTCAAAAAGTTCTTCGGAATTGCATAAAATGTTCTAAATCAAATTAGAATAAGCTATGATTTATCTTTTAGAATTGTATATCATTCTAATTCGTATTCTAACTGAATTTCGAATCTAATTTGAATTCGAAACACGTGTTGGATATTCGCGCGAGACTCGGTTTTGCCACATTTGCGGTTAACCTTTTATTGGAATTCGTCCAAATAATTCAAGATCGATTTTGAAGTTTTGAATTACGGATCATCAAAAGCGTAACTAATCGAAAAACTTGTACCTATTTGTCAATTCAAACAACTTTACACCTAATCGCGATTGATAAAACACGAACGTTTATTTGAAACAAAACAACCAAAATTTATTCGCGAAACGGGAGTCTGCACAGGAAACGCGAGAGACCCTTCATTAACCTTTGGAGTTTTTTTGGCTGCGGGCAAAAATCAATCTGGGAGAGGCGATTTTATCTAAAATTGCGAAGGCCGTTTTCGAGACTATTAATATGCGCTTGTAAAATACACAGCTTGTAAAATAATACGCGTATACAATCGTCGAGTGTTTTTTGTTCGTATTTAAAATTTTTTAAAAGAGCGTAGGAGTTGACGAGTTGTTGACGGAAATGTGAATGAAAAGATTAGCATTTTGGTATTGGCTTTCAATTCCTATTAACCGAAGGAAGGAAACGTTATTATAGTTTATTGGCAGTGCATATAGTCGATTCTAATTCTTCTATAAATGGTAATTTTTCTCCCTCTTTTCTTAAACAGTTTAGTTTGGTATTTTTAAATGTTTTTAATCTAACAAGAGATTAGCTGTTTGTATTCGGATCATTTTCCCAAAATCGTTGTTTATATAGAAACAAATCCATTTTTTTCTTGCACAATACAAAATCTGTCTGCCTATTATTAAAGTAGTTTCTAATGTTGTTGCCCTCTGGTTGTTGCCTGACTCTTAAGAGTTTTGATTTTATGCCAGTGATACACACTCGTTGATATCAAGGCAGATGTATGTAATTATATGTTAGCTATTTCTAAACAGTGACTGTTAAAATTTCGTTTACCTTGCAGTTTTCAATCTCATTTTCTCATTCTATTGAAAAATAAAGTAATTAAAACGTTCCCGAATATCTAATGACTAAATAAATTGTTCGTTTGTATTGAAACATCATTAACCGGAATGTATTATCTCTTATTCTTCAGATGAAGCCAGACTTGATGGTAAAGCGGTTTTGGTGCACTGTCTCGCTGGTATCTCCCGTTCTGTGACTGTCACCACAGCATACCTCATGGAACACGAGCATCTCAGTTTAAACGATGCCTACGACCTCGTGAAACGCCGAAAATCCGACATCTCGCCTAACTTTAGTTTCATGGGCCAACTGCTCGAGTTCGAACGACGTTTGAATATTCCCGCAACGCCGAGTTCCGCGTCCAGCAGTCTGTCTTCGACCAGCAGTTTGGAAATGGAAATCAGCGCGTTCTGAATGGCCTGACGTGAATTTGAAGTTTGGGGTCGCGAAATCGTCTTTCCGAGCTTCGCGATATTCGTCGAACATTGAAATGGTTCTTTCGAACACCGAAAACGTTCTTATGAAGATTTAAATTGTTCTAATGAAGAAAAGTTGCTGTTTGGAACATTGAAATTATTCATTAGAACTTTCAACCTGTTCTTTCGAACATTGAAATCGTTCTCTGGAACTTTGCAATCGTTCTTCGAACTTTACTACATGAAAAATAGTGAATTTCTTACTCGGGTCTCATAAAATGGACAGAAATCATTGAACTAAACTATTTTTAATTAGAAAATTCACTGATTGATGTCTCACTTTAGAGTTTGTTTAGTTTTCCGCTGACATTTAATACAACTTTAGTAATTTATTAGATACGCCCAAATAACTTATTATCCCTGCAAATAGATCAAAGCTTGCCGCGTCGTTAACTCGGCAAGTGCTGCCTCGAACAATATTGTAAATAGCCCCAGAGTGTAAATTATATAAGATTATATGAATTTCTATATTAAGAGTTAAGTTCTATAAAATATTCGTTTGTAAATATGCAATAAAATTTGTATGAATTTCCGTTCTCATATTCCAATTAAAAATATTTGAAAATAGCCGAGTCTCTGTTTGTTTGTATTGCTCTGCTTGATTTACTGTTTAATTAGCGAAGTTGATATTAACAAGAATGGAATGTGGTATTGATTTACTGTACAAACTGTGAACTGTCAACAGTTTATTTCCTTAAACTATAAATTTATTTATACTGCATGAATAGCTCTATCAGTTTTAAACTGTTCTCCCTAGAGGTCCAATAAAGGATTGATCCATACAGGAGGAAACCTAAACTAAACCAACTTTATTATACTGGATAGCTCTATCAATTCTAAACTGTTCTTCCTAGAGGTCCAGTAAGGATCATGCCTTATTGATCCAGTGTTGCTACAGGAGGAAACCTAAACTAACTTTATTTATACTAGATCTATCAGTTCTAAACTGTTCTTCCTAGACGTCCAGTAAGGATCATCTCTTATTGATCCAGTGTTACTACAGAAGGAAACCTAAACTAAACTTACTTTATTTATACTGGATAGTTCTATCAGTTTTAAACCGTTCTCCCTAGAGGTCCAGTAAGCGTCATCTCTTATTAATGAACTGTTCTCTCAAAGGGCGCCCCTTGTATGTTATCGCATAAAAGTATGTGTGTAAAATTGAAAATCTTCGTCTAGTCCACTTTCTCGAAGGTGAAAGGTCTTCTAAAAAAAACGCACAACGGGTTGTGTCTATTTCAATGCCTTTCATACGTGCTGTGTTACAACTGAGAAAATTAACACTCTCAGACTTGGGCCACGTTTTCTGCAATGCTCTTGTCACGATATGAAATTCTACTGCTATAAAAACCACCCTTTGTGGCCTTCCTCCCTAATATTTTTTTAATGTTATCGAGGATTCTGTTAAATTTCCAAGCGATAAAAGCACTCTATAAAAGGTATAAATTTGATGTAGCACTTTTAGAAACCCCGGTAGACTGTAGTCTTGGTAGAATATGTGACACCTATGGTTTCATTTCCAACTGGGATGTCCCCCCTATATCTTATTCCATTTATGGTAATATGTTTGGTTTATTTAATGCATAGCCCATGCAGTGATTTGTATACTGATTCTAATTAACTTCCCTATATGTGAGCTTCTTGCAAAGATTCAGGACTTTATTATTTACAATTTGAGCATTCAAATTTTAAACTGAAGCATGATTTGTATAAAAGTATGGTTTCGAGTAGTGCCAATTTGGAAAAATACATGGCGGGAGTGAGTTTTTCAAAGACGATCAAAATTACACAAGTCCGCAATGGACCATTTGCATTATAGACTAAATTTTGATCTAGGAAAAATTTCATCACAGCTTGAAAGAGCATCACAAAATTAGTAATATTCCAAAGTTTCGTTGCAAAATGTTGTAAAATGCGGATAATATAGCCTTGCGAAATTTGCAATTTTCAGTCATTTTGTATTACAAACGGGAAAATTGATGCCCCAACACCCGATTGAGCTGTCAATTTCCCGTGCGTAATACAAAATGACTGAAAAACGGCAAACTTCGCATGGCTATATTATCCGCATTTTACAACATTTCGCAACGAAACTTTGGAATATTACTAATTTTGTGATGCTCTTTCAAGCTGTGATGAAATTTTTGTCTAGATCAAAATTTAGTCTATAATGCAAATGGTCCATTTGAAGTCTTTGAAAAACTCACGAGTGTATGTTTTTTTCAAATTGCACTCGAATCCCTCATTATCCCCCTACGAGCGTAGAAGAACCTCTGGCACCCAGGGTACTCGAAACCATACTATTATATTTATTAATAATATACATGAAAAAATTAACGCCAGCCATTTTTCTTTACAAAACAACGTCGGCCATTTTTGTCGCTACTAAATAAAAACTCGTAAAATGGCTAATGCCCCGTTTCACATTACGCTCAATTTTTGGTACGACACGGATAAAATTGGTACCCGTACCACTTTTTTGATTCTTGGACTACCTATTTTAGGCTCGTATTTAGGTAGTCCAAGAACCAAAAAGTGGTACGGTACCAAAAATTGAGCGTAGTGTAAACGGGGCTTAGCTAAACAGGTAGTCCAAGAACCAAAAAAGTGGTACGGGTACCAATTTTATCCGTGCCGTACCAAAAATTGAGCGTAGTGTAAACGGGGCTTAAATGTTTGCTTTTTGCATTATTTCTGCTGCAAATTGCTGTACTTGTCATGGCTATCCGATCTTTGTCATGCCAATCAGAAAGCCTAATTAATTACTCAATGAAATTTGCACTGTATAACTGTATTTCATTTTTTGGCACCGTATTTCGAAAAAAATTGCACTCTCTTCACTGGCCAGTCAGAATTGAGAAATGTTTTCATATATATATCAGTTAAAACCTCCTCATGGCTGTTGAAAACCTGTTACAACATATACCTTCAAATGCGATTTGACTTTGGCACTTTGCCGCAAGCGGTCTATCGAGCAATCGTATATATATAAACGTCAATCTTAATTGGTCTTTTAATACGGCAAACTCGGGACTGGCTCTAGAAAAAAAGCTGACGAAATGTGACATGCACTCAAACGGTCATCAATGACTAAACATGACTCTCTGTGAACTCTCCGCGGCGACTCAGTCCCGCGTCCGTAAATGGGTATTTATAGACGGCGTCTTGTTAGCCTTTCCAAACAAAAAGGTTTCAAAATACTTATTATGCAACGTCGATATGTCAGAAAAGTAAATATTGCTAAATACAAGCCAGCTTTTGAGCGAAAACAGACGAATGAATATATGACTACTTTTAGACTTCGTCAGTGACTGCATGCTTCTAAACTATTAAAACTAAACCGAGTCTCAGCATAAACTCCTAACTGAACTAAACCGTAATTCTATTCGTATACATGTTCTTAATTCGGCCTATACCTAGAGGACGGTTATCTTAACTGATTATATTACTAGCTGTATGGTAATATATATACCGGTGTATATAGGAATGTCCAGTGCCGTAGCAAGCTCGATAATTGGGGGGGGGGGCTGATATTCATATATTCGTGTTCTGCGTTGTTAATTTCTTTTGAAATCGATTGTTTTTGTGGTCTGTGAACACGAATATATGAATATCAGCCCCCCCCAATTATCGAGCTTGCTACGGCACTGGACATTCCTATATACACCGGTATATATATTACCAATCCATACAGCTAGTAATATAATCAGTTAAGACTACGTTTCCACTATAGTCTATATATAAGTAAATAACGGATGGCTTTCCGTAGCGGCGCGAACTACTTATCCGATACGGAATGTACAACTTTCAGAAGCTAAACGAAACAACATCTCTTCGTCAGCAATTTGCCAATAATTCCTCTAAAAATAGCGTTCCTGAAAGGTACGGGGGGTTTTTCACGTCGCTACGGAAAGCTGTATCCCCGCGCGGTACAGTGTAAACCTGACATGGTCTATGTTTTTAGTTAGTGAGGTTTCAGCAAGTTTTTAGCTAATTCATGCTTCAATTTTAGTGCACATGTTGTCCTAACTTTGTACAGCAAACAGTCGACTTCAAAATACGTAACGATTTCCTGCATGTTAGCGGTCTGCGCAAACAACTGATTAATTAAGACTTCTCTGTTGCTAGATTGTGCAATCAATTTATAATGGGAAGTCCACTGGGTCTGAATATAGCACTTTCGAATGCGATTAACAATTATTGCAGGTTGAGCATCATATGAGGTATTATCGAGGCCGAAGTTTATGTTATCACTTATCAACCGCATAGTTCCGAAACCGAAAGTACAAAAATCATGAGCCAAAATACAAAGCAAATCACCCCCGTGTGTATATATAGTATATACACCATCAGTATAATCATAATCCAATTTTTACGTTCAATTTCAGTCTTCATTCCTTCAAATACAAGTCCGCTTGAGAAGTAATTATACTGAACTCGAAAGATGTTTATGTATTAAGAACCTCAAAGTATGAAAATGCTGCTATCTCAATCGTTTTCTAATTTTATGCGCCTGAGTATTCAACGCCTTCTTGTTTATTGCATAATATACAAAAACCTCCATACCATTAAATTCCACTCCTACGCTTGCTCGCTGCCAGAACAAACAATTGAAACGAACTGGGGGACTTTTTACGCTACCAATATTTGCCCAAAACAGTAGGAGTGATTATAATCCATTTAATGAAAATGAAAGGAATTTTCTACAACTGAACAGCTAGTATATGTTCCCAAGCCCGTCTACAACATTTTTTTTCATTTTAAAACTGGTCCCTTTATACTAAACACAGTTATAAATCCAGTTGTATTTTAGCTTAATTGATGACACGCTTTCTAGCCATTAACTACCTTGTTTTTCAAGTTTGGGTTAATTTGGATGTGACATTCTGGAAAATTCGTCTACCGTAGACTACCATGGGATGTAAAATGCATTGACGCACGATTAATTAATTAAGTAAATTATGCCGCCGGCTAAGCTAGTGATAATCACAGTCCAGTTCAGGTTTCCTCCTGTAGTAACACTGGATCAATAAGAGATGATCCTTACTGCACTTCTTGCAGGAAGAACAGTTTAGAACTGATAGAGCTATCCAGTATGAATAAAGTTAGTTTAGTTTAGGTTTCCTCCTGTAGTAACACTGCATGGATCAATAAGAGATGACCCTTACTGGACCTCTAGGGAGAACAGTTTAGAACTGATAGAGCTATCCAGTATAAATAAAGTTAGTTTAGTTTAGGTTTCCTCCTGTAGTAACACTGGATCAATAAGAGATGATTCTTACTGGTCCTCTAGGAAGAACAGTTTAGAACTGATAGAGCTATCCAGTATAAATAAAGTTTGTTTAGTTTGGGTTTCCTTCTGCAGTAACACTGGATCAATAAGAGATGATTCTTACTGGACCTCTAGGGAGAACAGTTTGGACTGAACTGATAGACGGCCATCCAGTATAAATAAAGTTAGTTTAGTTTAGGTTTCCTCCTGTAGTGACACTGGATCAATAAGAGATGATCCTTACTGGACCTCTAGGAAGAACAGTTTAGAACTAATAGAGCTATCCAGTGTAAATAAAGTTAGTTTAGTTTAGGTTTCCTCCTGTAGTAACGCTGGATCAATAAGAGATGATCCTTACTGGACATCAAAGAAGAACAGTTTAGAACTGATAGAGGCTATCCAGTATTAGGTTTCCTCCTGTGATAACACAGGAAAATTGGCTCGATTTTTAGTTTACAAAACCACGACAACGTACATAAATTTTTGTCTAATTGATATCTGTTGTCAGCGCAATTTTTCCATCCCACAACATCCGAACACTGGCGGTGATCCCACCGTGAATTAAGTAAATATGCGACTCATTATCACATCACGTGCGTGTCAGGGTCACATCGGAAATGAGGGAATGAGGAAACTGCGCAACGAAATTGCGTAAATCGGTCTAAATGATGCTGCGCGCGCGCGCAAAAATGCGAAAACTGTTATTTATAGGATGTTTGGGAATTGTATCATTTATCTTCTCCTGGGGATGAGTTGATAGATTCGTTTTTGTATGGTTTAGTATTTCCTGAGGACATGATTTTCCCGAATTGTTGCGGTGTATCGTGTATGTTAGCAGTGAAAAAAAATAGTTTCATGTTTGACGGGGCACACATTTGGAATTCTTTACCAACCGAAATTAGAGAGAGCAACTCCATCATGTCCTTTGAAACTAAAATTGCGCTACTCGCATTTTTGAATACTCACATTTTTGAATAGCATTATTATTCTTATACCTATATATATATATATATATATATATATATATATTTCTTACTGTATGTAATCTTACTATATATAATATACTATATCTTTGTAATTAATAGAGAGGTTAAGATACCCCGGTTTCGGTGTACGGGTACGAGTAGTGTCATCTTGTTTTACTGGGGCCGGTTGTATAAAAACGTAGTTAGCGCTAACTGTAGTTAGCGTTAATCACTGTAGTTAAATCCTTAACTGTAATTAGTTAACTACATGACTTAACTGCGTTGCACAAAACGTAGTTAGTCGGATAGTTCACTAATCACGTAGTTAACTGTGCGTGGGGCGTTTAAACACAAAATTACATAAAGTAAGCAGCGAATAACGACCGCTGACACACATTTTCAACATGATTGTGGACTCGTATTTTGCAAATAGGCGGGAATTTTATTCAAAACGCTAGAAAAACAATGAAAAATATACAAGAAAACAAGGAAAAGCCGCCACAAAAATCATAAAAGAATGCAGTTTTTCCTTGAGATGCCTACGTTAAACCAAGGTATAGCTGTTTGGCAATTATATATCAGTGTTTCTTGGTGTAATGGACCATACTTCGTCTTCGAGAAATCCTCCTGTGCAAAAATATGTTCTGTTTTCGTAAAAACACCAAAGCGATAGCGTTTGAAGAGTTTATATATTGTCAGCAAACATTCACAGGGAAGATAGCGATTGAAAATCTCAGGTAACCGTTGCTTTTCATTGTTGTTTTACTGAAAAATGTTGTTCACTCCTATACAAACGCCATTTTTAACTACGTTTTGGACAGTTAACTATACCCTAAAGCATAGTTAACTTTAACTACTTTTTAACTGCAGTTAAGGCTAACTACACTACAACCGGCTTAACTACGTGATTAAAGTTAACTATTTTTTAAGGCTTTTTAACTACTTTTTAACTGCAGTTAGCGCTAACTACGTTTTTATACAACCGGCCCCTGATGTCTGTAATTCGATCATACTTTTTCTGTTTTCTTGCAACAGACAATGATATAATGCGAAAAATATGCACCTTAATTACGAGTAAAGCTACAGACATCGACGAAAATATTGCTAACCAAAATCATGCTACCCGCACACGTACAGTGGTTAGCGTGTTTACTAAATAAAGTTCTATCATCTATATCTATGTTACGATATAGAAACCATAAGGCTTCTCAGCAGTAAATTATATTGCGCAATGCTGTAAACCGCAAAATGAGAAGAATACGGTAGGTCGTTTGCAATTTGCCTTAATTGCTAGTTTCAGAAAATAGTTTGTAGAAATATTTAGTGTATACTGGTGTAAGTTACTGCCTTTTCTGCATTTTCGTTTGTTCCTAGTGGCAGACTGGCAGTAGTGTGGTATTCTTAGTATAGCCGGTTAAATAGACAAATGTCGTAAAAAACCAAACTCTGTACAAATATTGAAAATGCAGAATAGGCAGAAACTAAACTGGCCAACGTTACACGAAATACTTCGACAGATTTTGTTATTTTTTTATCAACTTTGCCGTTTACAAAATTTACGCTAGTCAATTGGACGTTTATAATCCGACAATTGCCTAATGTTTAAAATCCGATCCGAATCGATCCAAAATTGTCTAATCCGATCCGAGCTTTGATAAAGAATTCCAATCCGATCCGATCCGAAGAATTAGTTTAATAAAATAAATTTCTCATTCAAGTTGAAATGAGAAGCTGACAAAGTGACGTCCAATTCAAGTATCAAACGAGTAATACAGCGACAACCGCGATAATGCTTTGATAAATGAATGGATAATTAATTCTTACGCCGGATAATGTGTGGATAATTAATTCATTTTATTTCGGATATCGAAGTCCGATCCGACTACGAAACAACTGTTTATCAATCCGATCTGATATGAATATTTTGTCTTTAATACTTTATTCTCAGATTTTGCGATTAATTAACAACGTCGGCGCGCCTGTATTTACTATTCACTGTTTACTGAATACTGTTGACTTGAACTGCCATATTTCAAAGTGGTATGCAAATTTTTTCCAAATTACGAAGGAAGTAAAATACTAACCATGATTTCTGGCCGCCATATCGGCACATATATGGTCAGTTTTGAGAGAAAATATGAAATATAATATAATATAATATAATATAATATAATATAATATAATATAATATACAAGATCTAATTTGTAGTAGATTGCGTGGCAAATCATGTAGTGGATGACGCAAATATTGCGTAGCATATTTTGTAATTGTCTGTAACAAGTTGTGTCATTGTAAACAATCGTGACGGAATTGTTATGACTACATTCGTCAGTTTTTCATTTCTGCACGTTTCGCAATCGGCAAACAAAACTAAAAGTTATGTTTATAGTACATTGTTTAAAAAATAGAAAAACTCGTCTCGTGCGTTTATGGAGTGATAATATACGCGGGGAATGTTAGGAGAATACGAGAGAAGCGAGTAAAATTGTCTGTTGTATCCCACTTTTTGAAAATGTCACAATTGTTCGATCTATGTTTTACTAAAATACTCTAGATCTATGGCAACCGCTTTTTTGTTAATTTTAGATGGAATTTTTGTACATTTATAACTTACCACATCCCTTCCAATAGCCAATCAGAAATTGCGATTTGTCATGCCAACAAACCAATCAAAACGCCCTACAAGTAGCCAATCAGAGATGGCGAAATTCTTTCCATTCTCAAATACATTTTCTTGGGTGGCTGTGTTCATCAACAGGCTCGGTTACCAAGGCTTTCCTTTCCAAAATAATCTCCATTTTCTGAGGAAATTTTAAATTAGGTAAGCATTAAATCCATTTTATTTCTCGCTTGTTTTAATACATCCTACATATATTTTTGCGTATTTTGAAAGTCCAATGCTTCAACTGTTAGTCTACGTTCTTATTTTGTAAAATTATCCTCTAGATCGGTCAAAAAAGCGTCGTATTTTGAACCGTCTTAACAACAATGGCGAAGTCTAAGAATCACACGGCACATAACCAGTGTAAGTTTGTACACAGTTTGATCATCTTTGCTTTGTGTATTGATCGTTCTTGGCGATAGACTACAATATAAATACCAGCTTTTAATACTGTTACACATTTAACCTGATTTGATGTTTATTTGATGGTTTATCTTAAATTTATATATAAAATATCATTATTTATATGTTAAATATCATTATTTATATATTAAATATCATTTGGAATTTTACTGCAGCAAAGAAATGGCATAGAAAAGGCATCAAGAAACCAAAAACGCAGAGATATCCATCTTTGAAAGGAGTAAGTGATTGTGAAAACTGCTTTAAACCAGATTGTAACATCGTTTGCATCAAAGAATGACAAGATCAGGCCTTAAAATATCGGTCGGTCACCGACATTGTCCGACCCATTTGTTAGATTGTCCGCCGTAGTGAGGAAACCATCGAGCATTCTGTCCGACTAAAGTGAAACTGAGGTTTATTGTTTGTCCGACCCGAGTGTATTGGTGTCTGACCCAACTGTAGCTTTGTCCGACGTAAATCAAATTGTACCCCAGACCATGACTAGAGACTTGTATGTTAAATGGAGAATCAGAGTAATGTATAAAAGCTGAACTGGAAATGTTGTTTTAATGTAATTGAGTGCTGGGTGGCGGGCAAAATGGTGAAGAGAGAAGTGGAAAACAGGCTTAAGTCTCGAAATCAATGGGAAGATCTCAATTTGGATGACAGGCCTCCGTGCTTAAATAAATTTCACTATCACTATATGTCCGACCCAAATTCACTGTCACCTGGACAGATTTAATTGATTTTTCTCCATGGGGGGAAATTGGAAGTTAACACCCCCCCCCCTCCTACCCCCCCCAAAAAAAAAAAAAGAAAGTGGTAAAACACTTTATTATTTTATTCTGCCTAATGTCAAACTATTTTACTTGTCACGGGGGGAGCACTAGCGCTCAATATAAAAACCATGTCAGATATTGAATAATGCTCAATTTCCTTTCCAGGTTGATCCTAAATTTCTCAGAAATATGAGATTTTCCAAGAAGCACAACAAGAAAACACATGCAGAAAAGAGTTCTTAGAAAGATTCTTAGATTTTGTATGTAATGTTGTTGAATAAACGTAAATAACTAATATATTGTGTGCGTGTTTTTTTTAGAAATATATAATTTGCACCTGCTATATTTACATGGAGACAGCAGAAACCGAAAAAATATCACATTTACCATTCACTGCAACACATGAAATTACACCTTTATCAGTCACGGTTTTTGAGTGGATTTAAAATTTAATCTTAGCACTTTCTATGTACCAGAAATCAAAAGAGCAATGAGTAAATACACATAACCTGGTGACTCTGTTTAAAAAAACTGTGACACTAGCGTCATTTCCAAGAACAGAAAATTTAATAGCGAATGTATCGAGGGGATTTTGCATGCCAGCAAGCCTCGATCTCGTGCAAATCTCTATGCTATTTTCTGTTGCGTTCATTTCTGATGCGAAAGTTGGCGTCAAAGTTCTCAAAATAAAGCATTCAATTTTTTGTGCTTTATTGTTAACTTTGACCTGGTATTTAAGATCAAATTTTAAATCCATGATTGATGACTGTTGTGGCGCTAGTTTCTGCGGAGACCGGTCTGTAGCCGGAGAATGACCCATACTCCATATACCACCTCTATAAAGAGAACAATTTAGAACTGCATGATAAAGCTATCCAGTAAAAATAAAGTTAGTTTAATATTTGCTGTGTTGGTGTAATGTACTCAGGTGAATAAGAGGTTTCCTTCTGTAATACCACTGGATCAATAAGACATCCTTACTGGACCTCTAGGGAGAACAGTTTAAAACTGATAGAGCTTTCCAGTATAAATAAAGTTAGTTTAGGTTTCCTCCTGTAGTAACACTGGATCAATAAGAGATGATCCTTACTGGACCTCTAGGAAGAACAGTTTAGAGTTTTTCAAGTTTTTAAAAAAGTTTTAAAAAGCAAAAAAAGTTTAAAAAGTTAGATTTTTAAAAAAGTTAAAAAAAATTTAAAAGTTCAAAAAGTTAGGGTTAGGGTTGGGGATCGGTTAGTGTTAGTGTTAGGTGCCGCGAATCTATTATTATGATAAATTCAAAATTTGCCGCGAATTTATCATAATGATAAATTCGGACGTGTTTAAGAATTTACTCGTATAGTAAATTCAAAGGCGGAGCTCATGCTGATATTACAACGTGTTAATTAACAAGCTTGTTGCATCTTGTTTACGTAATACAATAACATATTGTTGATCAGTTGATGTGTCACAGACAAGTTGTAAAACGCCCTGAAACGTTTTAATTGCATGCAACCCATGAACAGTGATCTATGTAAATCTGGCCCTTGGCTTGGAGATTAAAATTTCAAGATCTTAAATCCTTACATATATTCATGGGAAAATAATGCATCTTACGATATTATCGCGTTGTAAGCCGTTTTCTGCTCTCCAAAGGTAACTAAGATTGACTATGTCGGAGATTTTAAACGTATATTACGCTAATTTGCTTGATTACATTTCTTACAGGTTAAATTTTGAAGCAATTGAATGGCATTTGTCGTGGCAGTTGAAATTATAAATTAATAAAGATACGGTTTACAATTTGAAGTTGGATTTCAATTCCGCAAGATTGGTCGTAAGTACATTGGATGCATGAAATGTTCGACCGAAACTGTTGTTTTGAATGTATTTCTACTTAGTTCTATTGTTATTTCGTTGTGTTTTTGATCTGTGAAGTACGTCAGAATTGTCCCAATATGTGTAGTTATTTAGACTGCAGTTATCTGAATCAAACGAATTCGAAATTAACCGCATATAAGCAAATTTATCCACACTGCCCCACTGGAATTCCTATGACTGGCTATGAGCTATTTGTGCTCGGGAAATCACACTGTTTCATTTACTGACCGTTTCGTCTAGTGTATATCGATGCTTTAGTTTTGAATGATGACATTACAAAAGTAGTATATAAATTATGTAAAACATATAGATCTCCAAAACATATACACCGCTTCATAGATTGAATGAAGTTTTGAACTTTGCTCTGTCAGCAAAATAGTTCACATGTGGCCTTGTAAGTGTCTTAAGAATACACAGGTAAAAACACGCAACAAGTTGTAACAAGGTTGGTATCAGGTCGATATCAGGATGTGTTCGCACTGCTTGTTCCCAGTTGTTGCGACAAGTCTGGAACAAGTTGTTATCATCTTGTTACAACGTTCGTGACCGTAACAGACTTGATATTCAAGTTGTTCCAACAAGACCAATACAGGCTGTTCGTAACAGGTTGCTACGAGCTTGTTGTCGCTATGTGAACAACTTGTTACGTGCAGATGACATCAGACTTGTTGGAACAACTTGTTGCGAGTCTGTTGGCCTCATCAACCTCGTTACAAGATGATAACAACTTGTTCTAGACTTGTCAACCAACTGGGAACAAGCAGTGCGAACACATTTTGTTGACAAGCTGTGAGAATTTACGCCTGTAGTTGTCGTATGATTTTTAAGTAGTATATATATCGAACCTCATAAAATAACGGGGAACAATTATGTTCAACAAACACAATTGTGTCTCAACTTATTAATGTTTGGAAAACGAATTAAAAGAGTAAACACATATGACACATTTATAAATTTTCGTATATGTAAAATATGTGTTTTTTTACAAATAACATTCATAAATGCATGTTGAAAAATATGTAGCTTTTTACATATAACATTGACCTGTTTCGGAAGTTGTAACGCGGTAAGCTGCCGACGTAAAGTTTCGTTCCCTGGGGCATTGAAGAGGAGATGAAATCAATTGTCTGGTGTAAAATAAATAGTGTATTAAAATGTGCAGTGTCAGTTTTAATTGACAGCATCAAATTTGTTGCGTCGAATAAACTTTAATACTAATAGTGTTTGAAGGAGATATAGAAAATTAATTCTTAATAAAGACCTGTGTCTTAATAAAGATTTGCAATGGCGAGAAGTGAAATTAAACGCTCATGACGGCTGCTAAACCTTTACGAATGTTCCTTTGTTGGCTTTGCCGTCGAGACCAGCGTGAATGGCAATAAAATTTTAATGATAAGCAGTCAACAATGTGGTTTGCATATTATTATATTATGTTAATACTGCAAAGTTCGAAATTATAAGCAAATTTGACGTTTAACGTATAATTGCTGGAACGCGTTTACCTTTTAAAAACTGTAAACAAAGATACGGTCACTTTTTGGCCATATGTGCGCATAATGTATAAAATTATGACAAAAACGTAAAGTAGTATATGGCTCGGTATTTATTACGATGCGGTTTTGTCGTATCCTCTAAAGTTAAACTTCGACGTGATGAAAAGCCACTGGTTTATCGATATTTGATCGAGAACAGCGATAAGGCTTCGCTTTTGTGATGAATTTTGACATTTCTATAATTTACAATTACGTGTGAACATTTTTGTGGCGTGTATAGTCTATAGTCAGAGCGAAATCGATGCCAATTTTTGATGTTTTGACTCCGTCTGTGCGGGCGTTTTTTTGTTTTAAACAAAGTGAGTTTAAATGTAGATTTTTAAATTTGGTACTTGGTTAACTTTTTAAATCGATATGAAAGATGTCTTATCGGGTAAGTAAAAATGTATGAATTGTTAAATTTATTAGACTGGCTTTAAACTTCGTCACACCTGCGCGATAATATACGGTTAAGATGATTTATGGTCTAAATTTTACTGCATTATTAGCTTTTCTTCGATCAAAGTACAATTTAATGAAAGTTTTTGACAGTGTAGAGCTTTTATGAAGACTTTAATCTTTATAGGCACAAGTTTACTGCAAATGTTTCCTTGTCAAAAGTTGACAATTGCGAGATGACGCGTCTATATGATGTTTATGCTATATAGTGTATACCCGATTTTTATTTTTGGCCTAGTAAGCAGCTTTTGAAATTCATCCCGCCCAAAAATATAATCTTATTAAGTACATTGAAACAGTTCGACCAAGCTACCGTTATTATATATAAGTAGGCGTTTGAAAGTTGAGGAAACTCTCATGTAAACTCTCGCTTGTCAGCTCTTATGCAACTCTTTCTTCTCATTTGATCAAGCAATGAAAGTTGAGAAAACTCTCATGCAAACTCTCGCTTCTCAACTCTCATGCAACTCTTGTTCTCGTTTGATCAAGCAATGAAAATTGAGAAAACTCTCATGTAAACTCTCGCTTCTCAACTCTCATGCAACTCTTGTTCTCGTTTGATCAAGCAATGAAAGTTGACAATACTCTCCTGCAAACTCTTGCTTCTCAACTCTCATGCAACTCTTGTTCTCGTTTGATCAAGCAATGAAAGTTGAGAAAACTCTCATGTAAACTCTCGCTTCTCAACTCTCATGCATGCAACTCTTGTTCTCGTTTGATCAAGCAATGAAAGTTGAAGAAACTCTCATGCAAACTCTCGCTTCGTCGCTTGACAAATTTCTCATAAAGCTCATTAATAGACAAACTATATAAATCAGTGATTGTTATCTTACATTTTTTGTAGCTGCTGCAGTGTTCGAGTTTACGATGTTTGGTATCATGATTCTCTTCCTATCGTTCTGTGGATTCTTCACGTTCAAACATTGTTTCTACATTTGGCGAAGAAAGAAACGCAAAAGACACGACGATTCATTGGAAAGCATACTCGATCTGCTCTATAACGAAGACTATTATTATCTCGAATCCAGTACTCCGTACCTCCCTCCCCCGGAAGATGACTCAAGCAGCGAGAAAACAGGGGGGAGTGGAGACGCTGAAGGGGACTCGTCCAAAGCGTCATTTGCGAGCACTCCCACACACGGACAAAGCATTAAATGGAATGGGACTGAGAAAATTTCCATGGATAAATATAAGGTAAAAATATATTGCTCATATTAAATTCAGAACGTATCTCACATCTTGTGGCAAGTCTGCCGACAAGCCGTCAACAAGTTGTGTTCGCACTGCTTGTCCCAAGTTGTCAACAACTTTGGAACAAGCTGTTAACAGTTGAAACAGCCTTCTTTATATTATCAGACTTGTTGCAAGTTTGTTCCAACAAGTCCGATGCAGTCATGATATAACAATATTGTTACAACTTTGTGTCGTCAACCTTGTAACGTTCGTTTACTATATTATGACTGTATCAGACTTGTTAGAACAACCTTGTAACAAGTCTGATAATGCCATCAAGTTTGTTACAAGTTGTTAACAGCTTGTTCCCAACTTGTTACAACAACTGGGAACAAGCAGTGCCGACACAACTTGTTGACAGCTTGTGAGCAGATTTGTAACAACTTGTTTGTAGACCTGTAACTACTTGTGCGTTTTTACGTGCCTACCTCGAACTTTATGCATTTGCCTTGGCTGTTCGAGATAGCGGGATCTGTAATGTACGAAAGTTAAATACTTATTTTGTGTATATTTCCAGGTGTGTCCGCAAGACGTGAAATCAGAAACAAGAGACTCCTCGCAACGTAAACTCAGACGTCAAACAAAATTCCTGGGCTCTTCAGAAAACGTCGTGAACCAAACCGAACAGTCGACACCCACCTACGAGCTGAGCCCAGAGCAAGCCCCCGACCACAGACCCCATACCCTAAGCTTCAGTCCCAACATGACTCCTATGGACAGAAACCCGGCCGAAAAAATTTCCCCGAGTGTGAGACAGAAACATGCGTCTGTTTCAATAAGAAAATTGGTCGCCACATCAAAATTTATCGGGTCAGCCCACCGTGCAAAGAAGCAGCTACGAATGCAGTCTCGTTTTCAGCCAGGAACGTTTCGTTACCGCGAAGATGTCTCACCACCGGACGGTAGTTTCGAAAAACGCAGTTCGCCAAGTGGAGAATCCGATTCCCGCCCAAACAGCAAAAGAAAGGTCAACTTCTTAGATCTCGTGAGTTCCTCGCGTGAACCACACGCGCGAGATACTCACGCGAGGGATCACACGCGAGTATTCCACGCGAGGGATCACGCGCGCGACACCCATGCGAGGGATTACGCGCGCGACGCCCACGCGAGGGATCACGCGCGAGTTTCGTACCCTCAAGAGCCCCACGCACACCACAAGAGCAGAATTCACCCCGAATGGCGAAGTAAAAATATCGGCTCTCCGCATTCGGCATTCCAGTGGTTTCCAAAACCCCACGCGACCGGAAGTACTGAGCGCGCCAGCAGTGGTCGTCATGACGACAGGAGCGGAACTGACGTGGAGGAATTGTGTCAAGAATACGAGCGTTTGGAAAAGACTCGTTATGCAGAAATGTTGAAGAAAGCAAAATCACTTGGTCGAGAAAATTTGCCGTTTTTTAACCGTAAGCACGATTCGTATTAGCAGAATAGAAAAACAGCAGCAAGCCTCTCCAAAATATACCATTTTTATCTTGTGGGTTTATGAGCAATGGGTGGCAGAATTCACTGTCCCAAATCGAGAAAAAATTCTTTTCATTATATGCGGTATTCTTGATTGCACTTTTCCCCTAGGGGCCTCGTTTTCATGTTTTTGCAAGGCAGGCACACATGTAGGGTTATATCGCCATGTTTCCTGCACGGAATATATTTCTCTTTGATCTTGAACCCAATCACAAAACCTATCCTTCATACTTCATAAAATTTTAATATTACGACATCCTTTGTCGGGGCTATTCTGCCATAACTACTACAAAACAATTATGCTACTATTACAATTATGAATCTAGAAACTACGAATACGATTAACTAGTTAAGTTTATGATGTAGTTTGCCAGTTTCTTCTTGAACGCGGCAGAGTTATCAACAGATTTCAAGTCCTTTGGTATACTGTGAAAATCTCTAGCGCCTCTAAATGCAAAAGAACTTGCATTTAGGAACTGATTTAGGTCCTTGTTACACTTCTTGTTGTTCTTTGGCCAATACTATTTCTAGTAACAAACATACTGTTTAGATACTGAGGAGCTTCCCATTAAGGCATTTGTGTACCATAGCAATATCGTTGAGAAGCAGTTTGTCATTTATGTTAACTCGCTAAGCCATCCTAATGAGTTGCGAAACATTGAAACGAGGCCTCTGTAGGCAATAGTACAACCACATGAAAACGAGGCCTCTGTGGGCAATAGTGCTATAAACAGCGCAGTCTATTGAAAGGTTTATTTTTCTTGCTGCTATAAGTACCGACATGTCTTAAATTGACCATCATCTGTTGCCTCACGCTGGCTGGAATTTATCCGAATAAATTTAACTAGATTATTGACAACTGTATTAATATTACAATTAAATGATTCATTTTGTTAGCTGTGATTTATGAGTATGGTTTGTGTCTGTTGAAGTTGACTGCTAAATATCGATGCACTGTACTAACGCCTGACGCCTTTTGTGCTTTTTGTTTACACGTTTTTCCTTAACTTATAGTGATAGTTATTATTTAATTTATACTAGAAAGCTTTATCAGTTCTAAACTGTTCTCCCTAGACTAGAGGTCCAGTAAGGATCATCTCTTATTGATCCAGTGTTACTACAGGAGGAAACCTAAACTGAACTTACTTTATTTATTTATACGAGATAGCTCCATCAGTTCTAAACTGTTCTCCCTAGAGATCCAGTAAGGATCATCTCTTATTGATCCAGTGTTACTACAGGAGGAAACCTAAACTAAACTAACTTTATTTATACTGGATAGCTATATCAATTCTAAACTGTTCTTCCTAGAGGTCCAGTAAGGATCATCTCTTATTGATCCAGTGTTGCTGCAGGAGGAAACCTAAACTAAACTAACTTTATTTATACTGGATAGCTCTATCAGTTCTAAACTGTTCTCCCTAGAGGTCCAGTAAGGATCATCTCTTATTGATCCAGTGTTACTACAGGAGGAAACCTAAACTAAACTAACTCTATTTATACTGGATAGCTCTATCAGTTCTAAACTGTTCTTCCTAGAGGTCCAGTAAGGATCATCTCTTATTGATCCAGTGTTACTACAGGAGGAAACCTAAACTAAACTAACTTTATTTATACTGGACAGCTCTATATCAATTCTAAGCTGTTCTCCTTGGAGGTCCAACACTTGCAAAACCCTAGTCACAGAGACATCGTCTAATTAAACGGGAAATAACTATGACTTCATTTTAACACTATCATACAAGAGACCAACGTTCGAAATTTCTAAAACTTTTTTCGCGGTGAAAATGCTTAATAATTAATGTAGAAAGTAAAAAAAAATGTTAGTTTTATTAAAAGTGGTCAGATTAAAACCAAGTTATCAATTATAGATTTGAGAGTAAAGCAGATTGAATTAGTAACTATTTTGAAGTGTGAAGGGCCCTTTTGTCTAAAGTCCACACCGGGCAAGCTGAAGGTTGTTTTAACTGCAGTGGAAATAGCGAAGAGGCAGCATCTTTCGGATGACATCTTATTGGCCGAGGTCAAAATCTTGAATTATTTTGAACAATTAAACATTGAACGTCCAATCGGTCGACATGGGATAAACAATGCACAAATTTGGCAAACCAGTTTGCTTATAGCCACAACTTTAGATATCTTTTGAATCTCACATCTTGTATAACAAGTTTGCCAACAAGCCGTGTCGACAAGTTGTGTTCGCACTGCTTGTTCCCAGTTGTTGTAACAAGTTTGGAACAAGCTGTGAACAACTTGTAACAAGCTTGATGGCATTATCAGACTTGTTACATGGTTGTTCTATCAAGTCTGATACAGTCATGATATAACAAGAATGTTACAAGGTCGACGAGACAAGGTTGTACCAATATTGTTAAATCATGACTGTATAGGACTTGTTGGAACAATCTTGCTACAAGTCTGATAATATCAACAAGCTGTTAACAGCTTGTAACAAACTTGATGGCATTATCAGAGTTGTTGCAGGGTTGTTCTAACAAGTCTAATACGGTCATGATATAACAAGAATGTTACAAGGTTGAAGAGAGCTTGTTCCAAACTTGTTGACAACTTGGGGCAAGCGGTGCGAACACAACTTGTTGACGGCTTGTTGGCAGACTTGCTACAAGATGTGAGATTTTTACGCGTATACTCAGCATTTGAGTTATCTAAAGTTGTGGGTAGCAACGATATGTAAACAACGTTAGCCAAGTCTGTCTATTACGTCTGAAAATGCACTGCACAATCAAGTCTCATAGCCAGCAGACGTTAAAATAAATAAATCCTTTCCCCACTTTTCCATTTACCTTGATTTCTCCAAAGCCGACGAATATTTAAAGAGGTTCTTACTCACGTAAGCCAAGCTACAGCTTCTAGTCGTTGACTTGAGGTTGCCCTGAGCTAGCTCGATAATGTCTCAATGATCACTGCCCATTGAGGAAGGATAGCTATAAATCTTCACTGTCCATAGCTTCGGTTTACTATATTTGAATTGAAAATGGCGAAGCAATGGATACTATCGTGCATCGATATTTAGCAAACTTCAATCAGAAGTATACTCATAAATTCCTTGAAATAGGAAACCTTGTAATGTTTCTGACTTTCTGCAATAAATATAACGCTTTGGCAACGAAATAAGTATTAAAATTATATGGCTTTAATTTTACTTCTCTTAAACAGAACGAAAATCGCATCGATATAGAATAAACCCACTTGACATTGAACTAAAGGAAATTAAACCTCTTAAAAGACTTGTACAGGACGAAAGTTATGTTACAGACTCTGAATTATACAAAAAGGAACGAAAATTTAGGGGCAAGGAAAAGGCGAAAATATCTGAAATGCAGCCTCTTATCTCCGAGCAAAGAAAATCCCAAAATGTTGGTAGACCACAACCTCAAAGTGATGATGAATTTAACTATACCGACTCCGAATTATACAAAAAAGAACAAAAGTATAAAGCCGACAAAAAGGTACTGTACACTGACATAAAAAAACACAAGTTGTAATAAACTTGCAGCAGACTTGTAGCAATGCTGTTCCAACAACTTGTCAACCGGATGTGTTCGCACTGCTTTTTCCCAGCTTGTTGACAAGTTGTCAACGGCTTGTTGACAACTTGCTACAAGGTTGTTGAGCTCAGTAGTTAGCTCTTGTTATAAGTCGTTCCAACAACTTGTTATCGTCCTGCAATTCAACAATTTTTCAACAAGTTGTGCGTGACAACCTTGTAGCAACTTGATGAAGTAACAGCATTGTTACAACTTGTTGACAAGCTTGCTACAAGCCTGTTGCGAACACATCTTGTTGACAAGTTGTAAGGTTTCAACTACAACCCATGGGTTTTTCAGGTAGTTCAGACACGAACCACGGCAGCTTATTGTAGAATACTACCTACACTGGACCACCACGTTTAAGATATCTTTTTCAGGTAGTTCAGACACAAACCACGACAGCTTATTGTAGAATACTACCTACACTGGACCACCACGTTTGAGATATCTTTTTCAGGTAGTTCAGACACAAACCACGACAGCTTATTGTAGAATACTACCTACACTGCACCACCACGTTTGAGATATCTTTTTCAGGTAGTTCAGACACAAACCACGACAGCTTATTGTAGAATACTACCTACACTGGACCACCACGTTTGAGATATCTTTTTCAGGTAGTTCAGACACAAACCACGACAGAGCATTGTAGAATACTACCTACACTGGACCACCACGTTTGAGATATCTTTTTCTGGTAGTTCAGACACAAACCACGCAAAGAAAGTGAGCTTCAATACTTTTATTTTTAAACAGAAATTGGTCAACACAGTAAAAAATTTACACAATCAAGATGAAGACACAGAACATCTGACGCCTCTACTCGGAAAAACGGGAAGAAATTCCCAACCAAAGTATGAAAAGAAACCTTTTAAACGGAAATTTAAACGCACCGTGGAAAAGGTTATGCAATTTGCAGAGCGAAATTTGGCTTTATCAGAGTTTAGAAAATCTACCAGCAAGAGAATCGTTATGGATAAGACGGGATCGACAGAGGAATTTTGTGATCAGGTAGGATATTTTGGGATAAATTCTGATCGATATCATGTGTCTACTGTGGTCCAATTTGCTGTCAATTACCTGACGTCATCAGCATGTCTCTTTAATTTGGGCAATTAGACCTAATTAGTTAATTAGCTGCACATTAGAACGCCAATTAAGCAGTTGATCACGCACGACTAAATTCGCATCACTCTTCGCGTTACTTCGAAGATTTCAAATCAAAGATTCCAAAATGGTAAGTTAAAGAATTCTACCATATGAGATTACTATAGGCTGGTCAGTATACTATCAAAATTTCTGTGATCACAGTAGGAATTTTGCAAGGATTTGTAAGAAATGTTTGAGGGAAGTGTCTTGGTGTTTAACACTAGTACTGAGTCACTTTTCTCAAACATTTCTTACAAATCCTTCAGAACTTAGATTTTAACAAATGCAAAACTATACTGTGATCCCCAAGAGAGCCTGCTCGCTGGCTATTAATCCAGTTTAATACCAGAAAAACATATTGGAATTAAATATCACTGAATGAAGTGGTAATTGAATTGAATTGGATTGACTTTAAATATCAGACGTTATTGGAAGAATGACTTTACCATGCGAATAGCAGGAAAATCGGAAGCACTTTAAACATATTTTCAAACGTTTTTTAATTGTTAAACATAAATTTTACAACGATTTATCTCGAGAATAACAGTATAATTGCCGGGCTGCCTATGACTGGAAGCGAAACGAATGAAAATCTAATTAAATTTTAGAATGTAAACCTTTGTAAAAACAGTAATATTCTTGAATAAGAAAGAGGCATTCTTACTGAAACATTATTTCCTAGCCATATTATTGAGAGAAGCAAGAAACGGTATTTCCTATCTTTTATGTTTCCTAGAGGTAATTGGCCCCCAGAGAAAATTTAGCTTACTGATTTAATGTTACTGTAAATTGTTAATGGAAAATGATCTTATAGTCTTGTGAATCAGAATGTAATATGATTTGATCTGTATTGGGGGGCATAAGCAAGCATATAACTCATGACTTTGAATCCATTGACATTTGGGTATATATTCACAACAAAAGTGATCACACTTGGGAATAAAATATCTATCTAAATTTCCTGAGAATAGCATGGCACTACTTCGTGGAAAGGCATGTAAAATATTTATTAAAGTTACTTTAGATAATCGTTTTACAATTTGCGCGATTAACACGTCACAATGATGTCATAGAACGTTAATTATAATTAGCTTAATTAAGCCTAATTAGCCTAATTAGAATTTCTGATTACCTCGCGTCCTGAGATCTGAATTTTAATTCTTGACGCGCTCGTTATTTTGAATTTGATTCAAGTTGGTTTACGAAAATGGTATGTATATAACAAAAATGGTATTTTGACGGTTGTGTTTTAAGAAATTATTCATAAAGAAGCGATTTATTTCAACTGAAGAAAAAGTTTATGCAAGTTAAGAGAATTTTGTACATGTAGTTGTGAAACTCATTTATGCATGAAGAAAACACAAAAGAAATCATGAGCGTGAAGGAGTTTGTATATCTGATACAGAAATCATGTTGATTTACATAAACTTTAAGTTTAATTTTCTCACCAAATATATAATATTTTGAATTGTCAAAGAATACGAATGTTCTTCTCATCAAGACGTTTCACATATAATAACACCTCATTAAACATTGATTTCTTTTTAACAAAACGTTGATTTTTTTACAAATTAAAACTTCCTTCTATTTTTCAGAGAGAATGTTTATCGATTCATGTTGGTCAAGCCGGAGTTCAAATGGGCAATGCATGTTGGGAACTGTACTGCCTTGAGCATGGTATCCAGCCAGATGGTCAAATGCCATCGGACAAAACCTTGTGTGGTGGTGATGACTCGTTCAACACATTCTTTTGTGAAACTGGCGCGGGAAAACATGTACCAAGAGCTGTTTTTGTTGACCTTGAACCAACTGTTGTTGGTATGTATGACTAATCACTTATGCATTTATGATATCCTAGTGTCCTATAAGCCATACCATATTGTACCATACTGTACCATACCATAGTGTACTGTACCATTTCATACCATACCATACCTCATCACACCACACCATACCATCCTGTATGATATCATACCATATCATACCATACCTCACCATACCATACATCACCATACCATACCATACCATAACATACCTCACCGTACCATACCATACCATACCTCGCCATACCATACCATAACATACCTCACCGTACCATATTATACCATACCTCACCATACCTCACCATACCATACCATACCATACCTCACCATACCATACCATACCATACCTCACCATACCATACCATACCTCACCATACCATACCATACCATATCATACCATACCAAACCAAACCAAACCATACCATACCATACCATACCATACCATACCATACCATACCATACCATACCATACCATACCATGCTTTTTTGGAACGGTATCTCTATACTGTATAGGGAAAACAGTTTAGAACTGATAGAGCTATCCAGTATAAATAAAGTTAGTTTAGTTTAGGTTTCCTCCTGTAGTAACACTGAATCAATAAGAGATGATCCTTACTGGACCTCTAGGAAGAACAGTTTAGAACTGATAG